CAGTTTTTCCAAGAAAAAAGACTCAATAATGAACAAATAGTGCCGGCTTTTCATCAAAAATTCAAGCAAGGGACAATGAAAGGGAAAAAGGGGAAAAAGGGGGAAAAAGGGGGGAAGGGGGGAAAAAGGGGGAAAAACCCAGTCTAACTAGGGAGAGATCAACTTGTGAGAGAGAGGAAATGAAGAGATTTGAGGGAAAGGGTGAGAGGTGTTTGGGACGAGTGTTCGAGCGAGATTATAGATATTGGAAAAGAAAATAAAGAGGGATTAATAAAGAAAACATTTTAGAGGGAAAGTTGAATTGATTAGAGATCACAGGGTGAAGAAAAGTTATAGAAAATGAGCCTAATAAGTTAAATAAAGAGATTTAGAAAAAGACTAGAGAATAAAAGACTAAAAAGACTAGAGAATACGAGAGAATAAAAGATTTAGTGAATGGAAGAGAGGCAGAAGGTGGGGTTTGATTAGAACTTGATTAGAAATTGATTAGAGCTTGATTAGAGCTTGGTTTGAAAGTTATCAGTTTAGTGAGAGATGTGAAAATTGAGAGAATTGAGAGAATTGAGAGAATTATGAGACAAAAAGAGAATCTCAATGAAATCATAGAATAAAAAGTTAAAAACTATGAAATATTAAGATCTTTGAGGTTAGAATATTAAGAAAAAGAACAAAAACACGAAAAATCATTAGGAAATGAAGAATTGAGGGAATTAAAGAGAGATGAAAGGTGTGGATCCATTCACTGAGAAGTTCTTTCATTTTTTCAATGAAAAGTTGAAAACTCTAACAAACAACAAAAGATGCAAAAACAACAAAATTGAACAATACATAATCAACTTAAATTAGACTGCAACAACTGCAATTTTTTGTACAATGTTTCAAAAACGAACTTTGATATCCTGTAGTAAATCCTAAGTTGTTGCCACATCAATCCAATGCCAGCATGACCGAGGTTTCGGTTGCCAGCATGACTGAGTCTAAATCGGACATAACATATATAATACAATCTTCTCGATACATTTTACTGTAAATATCTCAATGGAGAATCTCAATGGAATCATAGAATAAAAAGATAAAAACTATGAAATAGTAAGAAATTTGAGGTTAGAATATTAATAAAAAGAACAAAAACACGAAAAATCAGTAGGAAATGAAGAATTGAGGGAATTAAAGAGAGGTGAAAGGTGTGGATCTTTTCACTGAGAAGTTCTTTCATTTTTTCATTGAAAAGTTGAAATTTTTAATAGATCAACTAGTAAAATGTGAGATTTGAAAGAGAGAAAACTTTGATAAGGTGGAAGGAAATATATACCGTAAATACTGTAATAGTACTCCACCCCCCTAATGACGGCACGGAGTGTTGCATAGTCTAGCTTTGGACGCGTTTTTCCCCACACTGGTTTATGCTACAATGCGCGCTTAGGTATCAAAAAATAGCCCTGAATTTCAGCTATTTTTTGATACCAAAGACGCATTTTTTGAAAGTACGGGCGCTTCGAAAAAAATGAAATACTAAAAAACTTTTGCAAAAAAAAAAAAAAAAAAAAAAAAAAAAAAAAAAAAAAAAAAAAAAAATTAAAAAAAAAAAATTAAAAAAAAAAAAAAAAAAAAAAAAAAAAAAAAAAAAAAAAAAAAAAAAAAAAAAAAAAAAAAAAAAAAAAAAAAAAAAAAAAATTAGATATAGATCAGGATCAGGATCAGGATCAGAAGCTACAGTACTGGACAATGAAATATCATATTTGAAAAACGATAGTCACTTTCGCGCCTCTGTAACTCCCTTGTCTTTGAGTTTAAACTATTAGTGTTATACATTTTCTGAAAGCTCTTTTCAAGGGCTACACAATGGTAATATTCATATTTAGAAATATGGTATTTTTTGACGCATTTCAGCGCGCACAAGATGGGATACTCAAAATTGTTGATTTTCAAAGCTGTTTTTCTTTATGATAGAGTGCTGGAATCGCTCTGAGACTACGATTTTCGGAATCTACGCAAAAATTTACCTTAGAATAATCAATATTTGTAAAATTTTACGAAAATTTCATAGCGAAAAAAGTCACATTTGCGAAATTCTCACTTCTTGAGCGATCAAGCGAGGAAGAAGCTGGAAAACAAATATTTAACAAAAATGTAGTAAAATGAAAAAGTAACAAAAACAGTAACAATAATAAGAAAACTCCAGAGCACACAATGGGCTTTCAGTATTTAGTAGCAAATCCTTTAGCGTCGATTACAGCTTGACATCGCCGAGGCATTGAATCAAGAAGATTAGTGATGAAACTGACGGGGATTGAATTCCAAGCCTGCTTCAATTGTGCAAACCTCTCATCGGCATTGCCGGCTTTGAGATTCTTAGTTCGTCGCTCAAGTTTCGACTTTTCGAACTTTAGATCGTTGTAGAAACCTGGAGATGGTTGACTGAGAGACGGTAAACTGTTCCGATAACTGGTTCTGGCTAAGACCTTGCTTTTTGCCGTTAAGGATTGCTTGTTGTGTAAGCACATGAAGATCCTTGCATCCTCGTTGCTTTCCCATTGCACCTAAAAACAGTAATTATTATCATTTTACCCAAGACAAAGAAAGAAAAACACTCAAAGTTGCACGCAAAACAATTTTTGTAAAGAACCGCTCAAGAAGTGAGAATTTCGCAAATGTGACTTTTTTGGTAAAATTTTGGAAATATATGAAATTTTGGTAAAATTTTACAAATATTGATTATTCTAAGGTAAATTTTTGCGTAGATTCCGAAAATCGTAGTCTCAGAGCGATTCCAGCACTCTATCATAAAGAAAAACAGCTTTGAAAATCAACAATTTTGAGTATCCCATCTTGTGCGCGCTGAAATGCGTCAAAAAATACCATATTTCTAAATATTAATATTACCGTTGTGTAGCCCTTGAAAAGAGCTTTCAGAAAATGTATAACACTAATAGTTTAAACTCAAAGACAAGGGAGTTACAGAGGCGCGAAAGTGACGATCGTTTTTCAAATATGATATTTCATTGTCCAGTACTGTAGATCAGAAACAGATCAGAAGCTCAATCTTAATAGAAGCTATTTATTAGGTTGTTTATTAGGTTTGTGAGAGAAGTTTTTAAAACATATCTTTCTGAATTTAAAAGTACGTTATCTTGTGTATATTTGGAATCTTTTTAGATGGATAGTTTCTTATTTTTAAGATCTTTTTTTCTTGCTTTAGATGACCGACTTCAAATATATCAAGTTCGCCTACTTTACGACTTCAAACTGGGCAAAACAATCGCGGAATCCCATTGAGATTTGGTCAAAGCATTTGGGAATGATGTATTGTCCGAAAGCCGATGCAGAGCCTGGTTCCAACGCTTTCGGAATGGTGATGAAAGTCTCGAGGATGATGAACACTCTCGTCGACCTCAAGCGGTAGACAACGATACTTTGAGGGCTGCAATCGAACCGGATCCTTGTCAAACGACGCGCGAACTTGCTCAACAGTTTCTATGTTCAAATTCTACCATTGGTGAGCATCAGCCATTGGAAAGACGATATGATGCGGGAAATGACTTCCTCACGAGTTAAGCAGTGCAAACAAGACTTCACGGATCGCTATTGCCGGAATCCTCATCCGCCAGGCTAAATATCATGGCTTTTTTTGATTCTCTCGTTACTGGAGATGAGAAGTGCTTGTGGAAACAAACGGACGGAGTTATACAAAGAGAAAAATCGACAATTTTCTGTAATTTGATCTAGCCGTTTTGTCTTTCAAATTGGTTCCACACGCTCTGATATGTCAAAATTTCGATTCTACGCCCTAAAATTACCTAGAAAAACAACTTTTGAAATAGAAATTGGTTAATATTAGCTTTTTAGAGCTTTTTTAAAACGCGAAAAAAGGTGCGCTAATGGGCAAGGTGCGCAAAGAAAAGGTCGCATTTGTCCCACTCCCCCTTTTTAATGCCTTTTTAATGCCTTTTCTTATAAGGAGCACAAAAGGCATGAAGTTGACGTCATACTGTAGATAAAAGATTAAAAGAAAGCTTGGAATTGAAAAGAAAAAAGCGAGGTAAAAGGAAATGAGGGAATACTTAAAAGTGACATCATTATTTTGCGATAGTGGCACTAAAATTGCACTTCAACTGAAGCTAAATGTGTTCTAAAGATAGAATTTTATCTCATTTGATTCATTTATGCAATAAAAGATGCAAAACATAATCGAAGAATATAGAGAAAGCTCAAAAATCCCAACCTTTTCACTGCATTTATGTTTGCCATCAATCCAGTCACCCGTTTTTTAATTCCCCCTCCCTCGGATCGAGATAATTAGAGTCTCTAGAGAAAAATGAATAATCCCCTCTATTATTTCAATCATTAGCCATAAACGAAATGCTGCAAAATAGGAAGAAATTTCTCAAAAAAAATTTCTCAAAAAAACATGAATGTTAGAAATTCAAAGAATTTTCGTATTTGAGTTTTGGGATCATTAAAAATTTGTTATTATTGAAAGATTAGAGATTTTAGTAATCTTAGAAAACTCATTTACTAATCCCAAATGATTCCAAGGATAAATCGAACTCTTCCTGAGGTTCAACTCCAAGAAGTGCGCCAGCCTGTGCATCGACTGGGAGAAGCGTGCGGCCCTCAACAACCGACTTCAAGTACAAGGAGAGTTTATAGCCGTACATTCTGAAGATGATCTATATGGTAATGGTAAATGGTAAATGGACTGATAAATCGTAAATGTACTGGAAAAAAATACAAAATGATAGGTAAGTTGTGAAAATTTAGATAGGGCTAAATTTAGATATATCAATTGTGCCGCCATGGCCGACTAGCTAAGAGTTTTGTAGCTAAGAGTAGCTAAGACAACTAAAGATATTCAGTTGTCTGTAAAATTTAATCACATATAAAATTCAGATTTAAATATTTCCCGTCATTTTCTTTTGCACATGCAATTCTCATTTCATATTCTCTACTCGATCCGGCTCAGTTGGTGACATCCATCGACTTCATTTGGCTCATCTTCAACGAGAAAGGAACAAATGACATCCCATGACAGTCATTGAGGCCGCTAAAGCAGAATCTAATAGAGTCAAAAGTGGACTAACAAAAAGAAATTTAAAGTTTACCTCCATAAGTGTCGCGTCCAATTATCGTCTCCAAGTAGGTGTTTCCCTGTTGGATGATCATGTTTCGAAAATCATTGTAAACCTAAAAGTTTGAATGTAAACTGCTTTTCTATCCAGAATTTCAAGTATTTTGATTTAAACGAGTCCTTTATCCGACCGAAATTTGATTTATTTTTCTGTTTTCCGTGTAATCTGGCAAATCTATCCGTAAGTCTATTAAAGTTCATCTATTAAAAGACGAAAAGTAGATAGATTCGATAAAAAAGAGCGACAAGATTTAGGTAGAGTTGATTGTCTGACAAACTCTGTCTGGAATCTGAATGAATAAAATGTGGATTACGGTAGAAGATCTGACGAATAGCTACAGTACTATTTCCAATATTCATCTTATTTCTATTTGGCACTAACAAAAAGCCAATAAGCAGTCAAGATTACGGCAGACGAGGAAGTTGAAACACTTTAGAAGCGCATAAAACTATCGTAATTAAACAATTAATTAAACAACGAGTTTCAAAATGATCTTTTATGACTTTTTTCTAATAAAAAGTTATGTAATCTTTTGCTTTTAAATCAAGGTTATCTGGAGTAGGAAAACTTATTTCAAGAAAAGTCAATTTTTGTGAGTATTTTCAAACGAAAAACTGATTCCAAAAAAAAATAATAAAAGGCCTTTAGACTTGAAATCGTTTGCAAAATACCAGTATTCATAAAAATTCACTTGAAATTTTGAAAAAATACATGATGTTTTGATAAATTCCTAGTCAAAAGACAAAAGTGAACTCGGAAAACATCAAATTTGGCTCGATACTGGAGCTCAATCATTTCTTCCATCAAAAATTGCCAAAATAAAAAGAAGTTTGGTTTGTTAGTTGCTTTTGGTGAAAAACTTGGGTGAAGCGGAAAGTCTTTCTGGACAGCCTAATACAAAAATTGAGCTGAACGAATGAAAACTGAAAACTGGCTTGGATTACGGTAATTTTTCAAAATAGATCCCTTTTAGAAAGGGGGTATTAGCCAAGAAGAAAGCACTGTTAGTGTTAGAATCAAGATGCAGAAATGTAATCAAATCCATATTTTCAGAGCTTCTGCAACGGGCTCTTGTTCATTTGTCGCCAGAATCGGTGCTATTTGTGCTCCTTTGGTGAGTCTTTTAAAAGCATTTTTAATTTTAATTTAATTTTGAAAAAATTACAGTACAAATTAAAGTTAAAATAAAGCTTTTTAAAATCAATGCATTAAGCTAAACCATTTCAACACAATTTCTCCGCCTACTGTATATGTGATAATGATTATCGTGGCCTCGTCAATCTTCTCGTTTCGTACTTTTTCCTGATTGAGACGAAAGTTTGTTTGTTTAGCCTTGTTTACGGTCAAAGTTAATGCAGAATAGAAGTCGGATTACGGTAGAGCAGAGAAATAACAACACAAACACTAGAAAATCCAGTTTAACTGCGATTTCTATTTGGCACTAACTTGTCCAATAAGCATACTGTATCAAGGCCAAAAGCTTTATGTGCTTCAGAATGTGAATCTGGATAATGTGCAAATGGAAGGGAAAATCGAAGAGACCAGTCCCATGCTTGAAAAATGTCTTAAAACTGGCTATGAGATCGTCGATTGATCGGGTATACGGTTTTGAGTTTCTTGAGTAAAGCATAATAAAGTCGATTGATGTCACCAACTGAGCCGGATCGAGTAAAGAATTGAAAGTGCAAAAGAAAACGATTGGAAAGATTTTAAATGCAAATTTACACGGGCCATACGCAAATCAAATTTTACAAACAACTGAATATCTTTATCTGTCTATGATTTTTCGGGACCAACAAAACTTGCGCAACAACGTTAAAACGATCTACAAATTTATACGATCGAGATAACAAAAACAACAATATAATATTTTTAACAACAGGTATTATTTAAGCTCAAAACATTACGTCGATTTGCGTCTTTTCCTTTGGGTTTTTTCATTCGACGATTTTTTTGCGGCTCTTTTCTAAAAAGTTTTGTATTTTTCAAAGACAAAAAACAAACTCTCGGCGCAGCTATGTTCTTTCGCTTGATCGCATGTCGATAAATCTCTTTCTTTTCTTTCCTAAAAGTACAAAGCATAGGTAAATGTGTTTTATTTAAAACACCTGGCAATCGGATTTAAGCTCAGCGTGTACTCGGGGACTGAAAAGCCGGCCTGACGAATGACACTCGCGATCGGACGAACGTACTATAAGAGTTTACGCTTAAAAATAAATTAAACCAAATTACCTTGAAATCGCTCTGTGTAAAATACGTAATAGCACGTCCTTTGCGTCCAGCTCGTCCAGTTCGACCTAAACCCAAGTATTTGATATTTTTCATTCGTTAAAAAGTACCTATCCGATGAATGTATTGCACGATTGTTGTGGGAAGATCGAAATTGATGACAAGATTGACGGCCGGCAAATCGAGTCCACGTCCCATCAATTCGGTGCAAACCAAAGCCCATATTTTTCCCGATCGAACTCCATTCAATGCTGCATCACGCTAAATATTCAGCTTGAAGGCTATCCACAAGCAAAATGTCAAGCACTTCTTATTCTAGGAATAAAAACCCAATTTAAAAGTTTGAATATAACTCAAACGTTAAAAACTTACATCTTCCTGTCGACAATCGCTTGAGATTATTGCATATGGGATTGCGGGCTTGAGGGAAGAAAACCATGACTCCAATTGACGAGCTCGATCTTTACTCTAAACTTATGCATTGAAAATATTATAGGTCAGGGTTGAAAGCGGTTACCTGTACAAAAACCAATGCTGGCGGGTTGAAATCCTCCAGGAAAAGATTCCGCAAAGCAATTAACTGAAAAAACATGCTAATGAAATGTGTTTGAACTAACTTTTCCTTGCTCACTTCCCGTATAGACGAGTTCTTGAACCACATTTGAATTGGCCACATTACTAAAAAGAAATATATTGAATGATGAATTTAATATTTACCGTTCTCCAATGCACACGATCGCTAAACTGACAATACTTTCTTTGCACCATTTCTCAACCTGTAAAGAAAAGCCATTGTGACTCCAATAAAAACTAACCTCTTGACTGAAAGTCGCTGAAAAGAATGCCTTTTTGGCCCATTTACCATTGCAAGCCTTGTAGATGGTCCCCAACTAAATTTTAAAAAATTCAGAATTATAGATAAGTAAATTTTTTAACAAAACCTGTGAACGGAATGTCTCATTATTCTTGCCCTTCTTATTGCTGATATTATCGAAAAGACGATCGCTTTCATCAACCACTAACCTAAATTCCATTTAACTAACTCCATTCAAAATATTAAACAAACCATCGCAACCATTTTAGCGACAAACTCGGAAGAAGTTCGACCAATTTCTTAGGGGTGCCAACAATCACATCAGCTAGATTATCGACTGTATCAAATATTTTAGAAAAGAAACCTTTAGCCAATTCTTCTTGTTCGTCTAATGTCGCCACTGTAACCTCTAAACCTTGCGAGAATTTCAGAAATTGGCGATAAGTCTAAACTTGCACATTAAATTTAAATCAAAAAGGTTTACTTGAACAGCTAGTTCTCGAGTCGGCTCAAGCACAATCGAAAGCAACTTTCCTCCTCCCGAATACTTGTCCAATTTTTTGATTCGAACAATTTCGGCAATGATTGGAGCCGTAAAAGCCAGCGTCTTTCCAGAACCTAAAATTCACGTAAAAATTTCATTTTAACCCTTTAAGATTAACAATTTATTTTCAGAGATTTGCATTTATCGCCTCCCCTATAAGGAATCGAAGCGAATGAAAAGCATTATTCGTCTTCACTTTTTCCGGATTCATCATGGCTCAAGAACTCATCCAGCTTCAACGCAAAACACAGGTATCATTTTAAGTTCCTTGTATGCTTTCACCCTAATTTGGCCACGTTGTTGATTTGTTGGGGTTGTTAGAGTTAGAATGATATAGTGGAGGGAGGGCGGAAGATTGTGGAGTGGTCTTATGAAATTAAAAAAATGGTTTAAAAATATATAATGCTCTATTAGTTTACTAGCTACTAACCCGTTGGTGCACAAGCCAATAGATCTCGTTTTTCCATCATCAGCGCCATAGCTTGCATTTGTATTGGTGAAGGCTCTTTGATGCCAAATTCCTAAAATCGAACACTCGTAGTTAACTGAAAAAAAGGAGAGTACCTTTATGTTTTGCACCAGTTGATCCGGAAAAATTGGAGAATCGAAATCGATAATTGGGTCCGGAATTGTATCTCCCCATGTTAATATGGCATTCATTCGGCGAACTTCTTTGATCTATAAAAAGCACTGTTCTATGTATAAAATGAATTCCTCGCCATCTCAGCCTTCTTGTCCTGTTGCTCTTGTTGTTTAACAAACCCGTGCGGATTTTCGATGGTTGTCAAACGATGACCTTTCAAGATGTCCACGCCTTAAATGCTTTCAATGTAACACACAGCTTTTAATATCAAGAGTACCTTCGTCCTCTACGACAATGTTCTTTGCAGATTCTCCATGAATGTCTTGGATGCCTTCGGGTAGAATCTAAATTAGGTTTTCATTGAATTATCGATTGTGTGCATCTTACCCGAATCCGCAACGCATCTTCACCAGCCGTGTCTGTCTTATTTTTTGTTCTTGGTTTTTGCGTCTTTACGCCAAACATCAACGTCTTCAAAATCTCCTCATTACCCGCCGACGGCATCTGAATCAAAAGTTTTTACACTAGACTTTCCTTGCAATGTTTACTACGTCAAGATTTTTTCATGGTTTAAACCAATCGTGTATTTTTGACAATATTGTGACAAAAATAGAACTTTATTAGCAAACTTGTCTAGCGACTATGCATTTATGTTAAGCACCCGATATCAAATAAACATTTAATCGAAAATCATATTTTTAAAAAAAACGAATGCAGTAATTAAAATATTCACAACCAAAAACAAATTCATCAAAAAGAATTATTTGAAAGCTTGGATACCAGTGACAGCACGTCCAAGAATGAGCGCGTGAATGTCATGTGTGCCTTCATAAGTATTCACCTGAAAATTTCATGATAAACAGTTGACACAGAACCGTTACCGTTTCAAGGTTGCACAAATGTCGCATGACGTGGTATTCATCGACGATACCATTTCCACCGAGCATATCACGAGCCTAAAAAATTATCTTTGCTACAAGAAATCTAGATTCAATTTTTTAACATAAATAAATAAAGATAAATTGCTTACCCTTCTTGCAATATCAAGGGCTTTTCCACAAGAGTTTCGCTTAATTAGTGAAACCATTTCCGGATAAGCCAATCCGTCATCCTTCAGCCGACCGACGCGAAGACAAGCCTGCAACAACAAATATTATTTTTAAATGTTTGCACCAAGCTTACTTGAAGTCCAAGAGTAATTTCTGTGAGCATGTCGGCGAATCGTAGTTGCATGATTTGATTGGCAGCCAAGGGTCTATGATTTAAGCCATTTCTTTTTTAAAGTGTAAACACTTACCGTCCAAATTGCTGCCTTTCCAAGGTGTACTCGCGAGCTCGCATAAAGCAGTCTTCAGCCGCTCCCAACGCACCTGAAAGTTTTTATGATTTATCCATTGCAACGAATTGGCTCACCAAATGCAATTCCGAGACGAGCATTATTCAGGCACCCAAACGGACCAGCTAATCCTTCAACGTTTGGCAGCAAATTTGCTTCTGGAACCGGAACCTAAATTTTCCAATTTTACTAAATCTCGTTTATATTAAAAAATACAAACCAACCTCATCCATAGCAATTTGTCCGGTTACCGAAGCACGCAACGAAAGTTTTCCTTCGATTTTCGGCGTTGTCAATCCGTCCATTCCCCTCTCGAGAATAAAACCTTTGACTTTGTTGTCGTGTCTAAACATCGAGAACAAGTCTTTAAAAGTGTCTCAATACCTATCGCTTCTAGCCCAAACAATACAAACATCGGAGACTGGGCTGTTTGAAATCCATGTTTTTGTGCCAGTAATTTTGTAAGTTTTCGTCTTTTCATCCCATCGAGCTCGTGTTTCCATACCTGAAGCAAAATAAATAAAAAGTACAAATAAAGTCACCATTTGGATTTGATCCATGGTTTGGTTCGGTAAGACCAAAACAGCCAATAGTTTCACCAGCTGCTAAAGCAGGAATGTACCTAAACTTTAATATAAAAAATAAAAAAGGGTTTATAGTATACTTTTTTCGTTGTTCTTCTGAACCGTAGTTATAAATCGGTCCAATTACGAGTGAAGTTTGAACGCTCATCGTCGATCGGTATCCGGAATCAACGCGTTCGACTTCTCTAGAAAAAGAAAACATACTTTAGGCTCCAAAATTATTTTTTGTGGGGGAAATAACATATCTTTTCCTAAAATTGTGCACAAAGTTTACCTAGCAATCAATCCGTAACCAACAGCGGTAGTACCAGCACATCCATATCCCTCGTAAGGAGCACCCAAAAGTCCCATCTTTCCCATTTCAGGAATCAAGCTTTTATCAAACTTCTCGTGACGATAGGCCTAAAGAGAACTTATTTGGATCTTCATTCAACAAAAACCTCGGTGATACGTGGCAACAGTTTAGCTGCCGCATATTCTCTCGTTTGATCCATCAGCGTGCGCTCTTCTTCAGTAAGTTGGCTACGCAAATCAAAAGGGTCTTCCCAATTGAAGGTTCCCTGTCAATTTTAGATTGAAAAGCTGTGAAAGATGTTTACTACGATGTTATTTGTTGTTGGAGCTCAAAATTCATTCAAGAAAATTATTAATCTATGATTTCACCTTTTGCCGTATTGCTCCAAGCTGAACAGGCGCCGTAACATTGAGGCGGGAGACTCGAGAAGAAATACGGGACAACATCTAAATGAGCGGTGCGGTTACACGCCTTAAACAAACTAGAACCGCAAAACCTTCAAACAAAAGAAACTGAATAACTTTGTATTGAAGTGTACATTTATTTATGGCTTTTACCGCATGTTTTCTTTTATATGGACTTGGAAGAAAATTTATTACCTAGCTTAACCAAATAGCAACTAAAACTTTTTAAAACAAACATACACATATTATATAAACGTTGGTCAAAGTAGAAATATGCAAAGTAGCAACCATCTCAACAGGCAAAGGAGGCTAACCGTTAATGACATGGCTAAATGGGCTAAGCAGTTCAGAGAAAGAGGAAAATGAGGTATGCCGCCTTTTGTCCGCCCAGAAGCCGAATCTTCAATGAGACGTAGCCAAAAAGTTAAACAAACTAACTCAACAACATTCATTGGCTTTAGAGGTATCTGATAAGAGGTGCTTACCGTTTAAAACCCTGAACTATAACGAGAGGTAAAACAAAAGAATGTTACAAGAGTTACCAAGTTGACACGGAACTGAACGGACACTAGGGCATATTGAGAGAAGGCTTACAAGAAATTACAAAGTAACAATAAAATGATTTCACAGAAAAACAATTATTGAAGAGGTTTAGATCCATTTAATGCACGTGCTCCCGGATGTCGTCAACAATGTGGCGAGCGCCTAAATCAAGGAATATTTTAAAAAATAAGATTTCTTTATTAATGATTCTATAAATAAGCTTTTTATAGAAGTAGAGCTCATACTATCCATGGCGTCCTTTTTCTCGTACAAAACTAGTTCAACTAGTAAAACTTTTTTCGGTTTATTTTTATAATCTATCTAACGCTTAAATATAGCACGCGCACAAATCAGCAACTAAACTAAAAAAGTGGAGCGCGACTTCTAGAAAAAATTACACCTATGTAATTTTTTGGAAAAAGTAAAAGATAAGTGGGCATGAATTTTACTAGTTGCCCAAAACTAGCGACTTAAATCTTAAATAAACCATCGTATGGAGTTAAAAGCTAGTTTTTGCTTTTTGCTTTGCTTTGTTTAAAAGTTGACATACCATCACGAGCCTTATCAGCAAAAGCATTAAGACGACTGTCGATTGAAGGAGCATGCTTGGCGGCAAGTGGCTGGATGAACTTGTGGTAGATCTTCTTGGCTCCAAGCGTCTCGGGCAAGTAGAGATAGAGCAGGAACAAGCTCTTGAACAGCCAGTAAATTGGGAAGACGGCACAAATCTGATGCGAGAAGAATTCGGCTACCTAAAGTTAAAAACTTATTCCTTTCTTCCTAGTAACAAAAACAAACCGAGAAAAGTGCAAACACAACCCAATAAGTTAGCCATTGAGTATCGTCTTCCTTTGATGATGATTCAATTGCTCTGATGCTAAAAAGGAAACGACATTGTTTGTTTCTTTAACGAAAATACTTACGAGCAATAAGCCGGATAGATGAAGCCCATGAAATTGCAGAGAAGAGCTGCGAAATGTCCGAAGATCAAGTAGAGTGCTTGTAATCCGGCGATCCCAAGAACCAAATGCAGCCGACGAATCCCCGATTTCTCTTCTGCCTTTGCCAAAACATTAGTGATTGGTCCCGGCTAAAATAGACAAAATTAATAAACAATTAACAAAGAATATATATTTTACAACTTTAGAAAGTCAAATCTTTGTAATTTTTAACTTTATTAAAACGTTAGGGCGTAAATTTAACGCCTGCATCGCTCTAGTTAAATAAAAGTCAAAAGTTTACCTGGTGCAGATGTTTGTCGATATCCGAAAGCAACTTATCGACTTGTGGGTGCATGTTGCGATCTTTCCTGAAAGAACAAGGTTTACAACTGACGAATAAAAGCAAACGAATAAAAGCGCAAAACAGCCAATTATTCCGTCAAAAACTTTATCAAATTAGCGCGAGACAAGTTGTAAGGAGATTGGCGGGCAAAAAGATGCTGCGTTTCTGCAAGCGAACGCTTTAAAAAAAGGAGCAAAGTTAAGGGGAGAAGGCGGGAAAGAGACGAGAAGAGGGAGCGATTGGACTTTGTGTGCAGCGTTGTGGGCAGGGAAAATGGGGAAATGCGGAGGGTAAGTGAAAAGACGGTCTCATACACACAGCAACAACCACCACCTCCCCATCACAAAAGGCACAAAAGAGAGAAACCAGGGGCTAGTCCCATCGTTTGTAAAAAAGGAAATCGATATCGGAGATAGGAGAAAGTTCTGGGTCTAACGCTTGTTGCGGAAAAAATGAAAATGAGCGGAAAAATTGGCGGGAACACTTTTGATTGCTTCAATGGCTTATTCAAGTGCTAATGTGATACGTTAAAGCAATTCAATTGTGCAATTGGGGTCGTAAACATTGAAAAGTTAACATACAATTGCATACAATTTCATGGATTACTTTAAAATTCTCAAAAGGAAACAACATTTTCGTTTAAAAATGAAACTTTAATGTGACTTTTATGCACTTCTAAGCAGTTATTCGCTAAGAAGCTTTTGACAACTGCATAAGTTATGCACTATAACCCATGTGAATCAAGAAAAAGCCACTCTGATCCTGTTCGGAGGGAATTTTCTATTTCTAGCGATTTTTTTTCCCTTTATTTCCTTCTATACCCTAATCGTTTTATATCGACTAACTAGCTTTTCCCCTATAGTTCACTTATTTGAAGATAATCTTGATTTTTGACTCTCTCTAGCGATTTCTTCCCCATACTTTCTTCTATACCGTAATCCTTATTATACATATCTTGTTATATGCCGTAATCCTTGTTCTAGCTTATCTACTACTTAGCTTCTTCCCTATAGTTGGCCTATTTGAAAATACTCTTGTATTTTTACTCTTTCTAGCGGGTTCTTCCCTATACTTCCTTCTATACCGTAATCCTTGTTCTATCTACTACTTAGCTTTTTCCCTATAGTTCGCTTATTTGAAGACAATCTTGTGTTTTGACATTTTCTCGCGATTTCTTCCCTATACTTCGTTCTTGACCGTAATCCTTGTTCTATCTACTACTTAGCTTTTTCCTTGTATTTCGCTTATTTGAAGACGTTTTATTTTGACTCTTTCTAGCGATTTCTTCCTTAGACTTTCTTCTATTCCGTAATCCTTGTTGGTCTACTACTTAGCTTTTCTCCTATAATTTGTTTCCTTAGAGATAATCTTGATTTTGCCTCTCTCTAGCGATTTTTTCCCTTCTATACCCTAATCCTTTTATATCGACTAACTAGCTTTTTCCATAGTCCCTACTTTAGAGATAATCTTGTTTTAAAGGAAGGTTTGCCGTTTGCATCAAGTGCTCACCTAAACCGACAACATTTTTTAAAATTTAAGAATTAGAATTACATAGCCTGGTCGTGAAGTTGATATAAATCAAGTCAATTGGATAAAAAATTTGCATACTTCCGAGCGAAGAGGAAGCGCCAACCGGCGAGGAAGCACCGCGCATTCACCATAGACGCCGACACGCTTGGATGACTTTGCGAAGGCCTCAGTGACATCGCTTTAAAATGAAAAAAATGGCTCATTGAGCAAAAGAGTGAAGAATTCTAGGCAAAAGCGAGTAATTTGTTGTCTCTTAACACAGACACAAGCCATTACAGCATTTTCTAATTTACAGCAATAACAAGAATCACGAAAAAAATTAAATGTTTAGATAGTTAACCACCAGTGAGAATGTTTAAGTGTTCAGTTGAAACCTTTATTCTCTTGAAACAACAGCAACAAATATTTGACAATACAACACTAGAGCATAACAAAACACAAAATGAAAAGAGCTATCTAGGTATGTGCAAAGGTATTGTTGATGGTAGTCCTATCTCTTTTAAATTCGTTTGTTGTATATTCATCGGTGAAAAGTTTACAATTCTTCCCTTGTATTTGACGAGAATTCGAATAAAACGTTGCCGCTGAAAGAGAGTTGACATCTGTTCATTTACTCGTTTTCCAATTTCAACCATTCGGGAACCGCCACCTAAATGAAACACAAGTAAATTTAGAGCAAAATTCATCATTTTAAACTCGTGCATTCATTATTTCACAATCTAATGTACAAAGAACACGAACTTTTTCCGATGATTAATTTTGCCCATCGCTCTTTCTCGCAAGGAACATCTACTACAATTTGTAGCACCTAAACATCACATAGTGCTAATACATATTAGCAAATACTTCTCCTTCCTGTGACCCTTCGTGGATTTTTGGTCGCAACTTGTATGCGATATCTCCAGGAAGAGCGTCCCGAAGAGCCGCTCGAACCGATTCAACACAGATAGCCTAATCTTACAAAGATTAGAAAATGTTTAAAATAAACCTGTGGTGTTTTTGTTGTGACTGCATTCTCGTCCATTCGACACTCCCTTTCTTCCGCTAACGACTAAACAATAAAACCAAAAACCGAAATATACAATACCTTAAGATGATTTCTGATAGGTTGAATCCCCTCGCCTGTGAGGGCTGAGGCAAAGAAAACTGCCGAGAAGTGACTCCAACCTCGAATATCCATAAAAAGTCGCTTTGTTTCCGCGTAACCACATTCACGAGTGGGTCTAGTGAGAAGTTGTCTTAACCAAATCACCATTAACAAATGAATTTGTTGGAAAATTTCACCGATATTTGGGTATTCATTTTGCGTCATTTTCTTTCAGATCAACCGAATGAAGTTCTTGTTTGTTGTTCAACGACGACCCTAACCTTCCTAAATTTGATATATGGATAAATTCATTCTGCGGCTCACTCACCGATAGTGTTTCTAGCCACTTTAATTGGTTATTCGCCAACTTTGCCATTTGTGAGTATCCTTGTCAATTCAAGTAAATCAGTCCGCTTTGTCACCAAATCAATCTAAAGATGATGTAGAATTCAAAATAAAAACACAAACTTTGTTGAAGACCAATGACGAAGGAATGTAGCAGTGCCGATGTAATAATTGGAGAACTCGGTGGTGAATGTAATCTCCTGTGGCTGTTGCATCCTTAATAAAGAACATCTATCCTACTTGAAAGACTTCTCGATACTTGTGCGACTAATAAAGAACATGTAGCCTTAATAGATCAAATTTATCCAAATACCTGTACGACGAGTATATGTTGCGATCGAGTTATCGCCTTCTCTGGGTCACTAAGAATTCGATCTTGTCCGCTTTTCCTCATCATCTAATTTAATGAGTTGTTAGTTTATTGCCAAGCGCAACACCTCCTTTGCGTGTCCTAATCCAATCGTTCCGGGACTGTCAACAACAACCATTTGGACGTCATCTCCGGTAATGATTGCTTCATTATTCTAAAAACATAAAAAAATAGATAATATGTTGAAAATACCTTTGTTGTTGTGTCCATCAGAAAGATGCACCAGAATGTACAATGGAACTACTTTTTCAATCATTTGTTTACATCAGTGAAAAGTGTCCAAATGCTGGCAATATATAGGGTAATTCCGCTAAAAATGCCCCTGAAACCGAGGTTCGTTGTGTACGCTAACCACTTATAAACGAACAGGAAACTGATGACATCATGAAATGATCCTTGGTGCTGCTGTAAACTAACACCCCTGAAAACAAACAAATACAATCCATTAAATAAATTTAAACTTGCCTGCATCTGTTCGTCCTTTTGCGCTGTGATTCAACTCGTCTTTGTGAACAGCATTGCGCACAACTAAAAAGCAAAGTTTTTAATAAACAGTGAACAATAGATCCCAACACAAAGACGAATGCTTACTTTCGCCATGCTCGATAAATCTTAAATGGCTCCCGTTGTTGACATTGATCAAAGATTGCAGAAGCGGTGTCCCAACTCAGATCCCGTACTTCTGACAACGCTTTCAAATTCACAACCTAAATATCACAACTTTAACTCTACTCTTTTATAACCTTCAAGGCCGCGTTTATTGGGCTCTACCTAGAATTGACTATCGAGCACTCTCGACTAAGACTAGTATACATATCACTCTGGCACACCCATATACCCAAAAATCCCTCACTCAGTTTTTACCCCCTTTTTAGCTATTCTTAACCCTAAAATACACAAAAAGCCTAAAAAATGTTATAGAATAGTCATTTTTCATAGCATTTTTCATAGGCCAAGTTTCTCGCTCACCAAAGTCCCATTCCATTTTAAATTACAAAAAAGCTAATTTTTCCAGCAAATTTACAGTCAATATGTAGTTAGGTTCACTATTTACGTGCGGTTTAAGGGGACTGGCGCGGCGCGCTTTCGAAGACGTGGATATTTCTAAGGCGTCCTACCGTACACCGTTCAAAATTCTCCGTTCGCCGTTCTTTTCATTTTCAAAAATTCTTTTCATTTTTCTGCATTCCATGGTGTGGTCGTGAATGGTGTCGGGCTTTTTACTCCAAGTCCCGCATAAGTTTCTTCTCCCTTTATAAAGTCTATTACGTTTGTAAGCGCATTTTTAAAGTACTCCCTGTTCGTTCCCTCTTTTTTATATTGTTTGGCCATAGTTTGTCGTTTAAATTTCTAAAAATGGCTTTTTTTCGTTTCTCTCGGATCCCTTCTACTCCATTGTCTTCGAAACTTTTTGTACATGCCGCATAAACTTAGCTTGACCAATTCTCTTTCAACTAAAATGCACAAAATCTATCAAATCTTGATATACTTGACATTATATTCTTTTTCTGAGGGATGTTATGCAGCATGCTTTGATTTATGGATTGCATTTTACAGAAGCTATGAAAATTCGCATCGCCTTCAAGAAAGATGGGGTTGAATCTCCTGACCAAGAAGTCGAGGTCGACGATGAGGTTTGTTTTTTGACAGTGTTAATAACATTCAAGACCAATAATTTAGGCAAAAGTGGAAGAATTGATGGACGCGGTGACGAAGGCTTTCGGGATCTTGCCAGCCGATCAAGAACTTCGCTTCGATGGCGAGCAACTCAAGCCGGACCATTCATTGAAAGCGTACAGCTTGGGGGGCGGTGCTACCGTCACTTTGGTAATTTGGCTTTTATATAACTGCAATACACAAATTTTTAATTGAAACCGTCACTTAAAAATGTTTTTTCGTAATCAGCGCCTAGTGCCGGCGATTTTTTGTCGAAAATAACGTGGGATACATACATTATTCTGCTAACCATTCTGATTTAGACACGTGTTGCATTGGAAGAGCTGGAGCTGGGAATCGATCTGCATAATCTCGAAGGACACGTGGAAGGAGCGTACACTGTCATCACTATTGGGGCCGAGGTTTGTTTTTAATGCATTTCAGCTTTAAGCACCTTTTTTTAGGCGACAGTAAAGCAGCTGAAGGAGAAAATCAAGGAGAAGAGGCAGATCGATCCCCTTTATCAAAACCTATCTTTGTGGAACAATAAGGAACTTTATCCTTTTAATACCTTGAAGGAGTCTGGTGTTCCAAATAATGGCAGGATTGTTCTGGTAAGTGAAACCTTTTATTTTGCACTGTCTAGGCAAGGTTTTCGTTGAATCTTTGTGGCTAGAACGTATCAAAATTTATAATATAGTGAAATTTAGGCCACTATTTTTGACTGTTCGGGCATAATTTTTGACATTACTCTGTTAGATTTACTTGTGCCAGAAGAATGAATTTACTAAATTGTTTTGAGAATCATACCAAACTGTGATTTGAAAGTACTGTTTTATTAGCCAATGATTATAACAATTTTTAGAAACATTCGAATATCGATATGTGGAAGGGAGTGGTTGAGTTTCGCGCCGCTGATATTGACAAGGAGCCGGGCGAGGACCAAGCCAAGTTCGCCGATATAATGCTTAAATTGATTGAGTTACTCTGGAATAGCGAGTTTTTCTTGTGTTATCCTGGTCTAATTGGTGAAATGAGGCGTATTTCTCGCGAGGCAAAAGGATACTTTGGTGGCGACAGTACTACAATGGAGATGGCTACAAGTCAATACTTCTTTGATTTGTTGAAGGGACGCGGAACTTCGTTCGACCAAGCCACATTTAAAGTCAAGTTTGAACGAAAAACCAGCGGGATTCATTCTGGATGCATTGCTACGATTCGCCATGACGGAATTGACGACGTGTAATACATCAAAACACATCATATGGGGACGACAAAATCCTCGTCTAAGTCAGCGTCTCCTCCTGGTAAGTAATCATTTTTGAATCAACCATTAAATTATTAATTAGTGAAATGAAATGTTTCAGATTTGCGCGAAGTCTTTGCTTATGTATTGTTGGAAGCGATTGGTCTCGGACCGGAATGTCATTTCTTTGGACCAATTCCCGGCAGAAGCAACGATACATTGTATATTGGCACTAAGTCCATTCCGGGTTTGAAACACATTGAGGTAACCTGATATTTGTGCAACTAGTTTTAACTTTTTATGTTTAGGATGCAACGGGAGGGTCTCAAGATATCAAAATGATTATTTTTGCAATTCATGTTGCAAGTTCAGTACTTCGCTTGGGCGATGTCCACACCCGGAACTGCGGCTACTACGACGGAAAACCAAGCATTTTTGACTTCAATGTGCGGCCTTTTCGTTTGGTTTTTTTGTTTGGAAATGATTGGTTTTTACTTAAGAGGAGGGATACGACTATAAGCTGGTGAATCTTGAGGAATTTCTAAAGGGCAAACCTCAATGCGTCGACACTCTGATCACCGGCCAGTCAGGTCATCCAATGAGGGCAATTGTTGAAGACATGAATGAACAGTCACGGGGGGAAAAGGGACTTGCTCTCTTACAAGGATGGGACATGTTGAACCGCGTTGATATCGCGGTAAACAAAGTAATATCGGTAAAGGACAGAATTCGCCTCAGATGTGTTACTATCGAGGGCACCAAGGATTTGGACCAGTATGTGGAGGGCGTCAAGCATAACATCTCATTGTTTGATGTTTATGGTGTTTAATCTTTGGATATTTTTATTTCGTTTATACAATAAAAACCCCGTGTCTGAGGGAAACGTTAACTTTTTGCTGTTGTTGAAATAAATATTATTTGATTTTTGTCAAAATTTGGTTGGTATATTCCCTCGTTTTAATAAATTTCATGAACACCGACTTTTGGAAGAAGTGAATGACGAAGAAACGAGAAGTTTGTGAACGGGGTTTTGGGTCTTTGCTCATTGGTCTGGAACTTGACCCAAAGTCAATATATTTTTAGGCAAAGTTGCGGTTGTCCTGTTAAAGTCTACCTTCTCAAGCCCTTCCGTGAAAAAACCAGCGGTTGGTTACTAATGCTGGCAAATAGCTAATTTTGTTTTTTAGATTGATGGAAGCGAGCATTTTCTCATCTCACTCCATAAGCAATACAAATACAGGAGACATTTGGACGCCGAGAAGTTTACAGACCAAAATTTCAAGGTAAGATACTTAAAAGGTACTTTTTAAGAAAATTCGAGCTAGTTTAGACTTGTAGAAAAACCGTGAAGAATTGGCAAATTCCGTTTTCAAACATGTGAACGACACGTGCTTCAAGAGCAAATTGCCCGAAGATTTACCGATCATTTGGAATCTACGACTACGAAAGACGACTGGTTTTTGCAGGTAATCGCTGGCGATTGAAAAAAGAACTGTGTTAAGCGTTTAGGTACAAAAGACAAAAGGGCGACGATTTCGTGTCAATTGTGAGAACGGTGACTGTCTGATGATGGGTATCGCTTTTCATCATAGACCCATTCTCACTTTGTGCTTTTGTACCTCATGTTGCTTGACCAGTCCAGGCCAAATTTTTGCAGATCTCTGTAAAAAAAACCTGTCCCTTTGTAGTACACAGTTATCATTATAACCATTCTTATATTTAGGCTGTGCACAGCGGTTGTTTTGGCCGAACCAGAGCGATGTGAGACAAATTGTGAGAAAAGTGAGTTGCATTGGTTTTTATTTGAAAATATTTGAAAATATTTGTGTTTTAGTTGATGAAGATCCACCAATTCTGATGGCATCCAAGCCCCATGCTCACTCACATGGCGTCCGCTCGATTACAATTGTGGCCGCACTTTCTTTCCACTCAATCGTCGAGGGTGTTGCTTTGGGAATCACGGTTTATATAGTCGCTATTGCTAATCATTTATTATTTTAGAATAGTCCAACTGATGCCTATACATTGTTCTTCTCGCTGATGGTTCACAAACTTATTGTCGCCTTTTCGGTCGGATTGCAGCTCGCTCGCACTCACGCACATGCTCTTCATATGGTAAGTTCGCACCATTCTATTTCTTAAATAATAGTTTAGGTTGTGATTTCAATGCTTATTCTTGCCTCGATGTCACCGCTCGGGGCTCTGTTTGGCATGGTTGTGCAAAACACCATTCAGGGCGCTTTCAAAGAAGTAAAATTTTTACTTTATAGCCAAGTAATTTTCTATTATAGGTGTTACTTCATGAGCGGGACAACGAACATCCAAATCTTCTAAAACTCGTCTTTATGTTGCTTGGCTTTACGTTGTTTGGAGGGGTGCGCCTTTTTGATGATGGGCATGGTCATGGTCATGGACACTCACACGGAGCTGGGTTCGTATTTATGCGTGTTTTAACGTTTAAAAGTTTATGTTTAGTGATGCCCATGATGAACATGACCACGTGAATACAACAGCAGCTACCGTTTTGGCAAATGTCACCGCAGCTGTCATTACAAAAACTTTGGGTTAAATCTTTTGCGCTCTTTTAATCTTTGTTTACGTTGTTGTTTCTACTTTGAACTGGACTATTGTTGCGTTTGATGAGCTAGGTTGTCATAGTTGAATTTCAAAAATTCAAACGCAATCACTCAGTCTCTTGCCGCTTCATTGATTACGGGTAACACGAGCCACTTGTTTTGTTATCTTTTCTTTGTTTGTTTTTACTATTCAGTTGTGCAAGGAAATTCCAGCTTTATTCCTTAGCGTTCTTTGTTACAGCATTGTTTCTTTAAAAATACAAAAATCTAAAAGTTTGTTGATCTCTTTTTGTTCAAAATAAATCTTTGTTATATTGCGTCATTTAAATTGCACAACAAGAGTTACTTCATTCTCAAAGGATACTAGAATTTTATGATCAATTGTTAAACTAATGTATTTAAAGATGTAGTTTCTGTAAAGGATTTCGTCAAGAATTTATAGACCTTCGCCTTGATTTGATGATTCAACACTTTGTAGTTCGACTTCAGGTGAGTTGTGGTTGAAGAAAATTATAATTTTGTATCTTGTAGAGCCGTTGTTTATCTCGGCCTTCGGGATTATGGGATCGATTCAGCCGAGAAACATTACGTCAAAGGCTTCAAAAAGCGACTGAAACGGTATGCGTTACTCTTTTTATTGTAGTCGTAGTAAATATGAAAAATATTTTTTTAGCAACGCACGAATCGAGCTGACGTCCATTATTCAGATGCAATATCTCTACGCCCTCCGAGAGACTTGTGGAAAGCAGGAGCTTTTGCGGCAGGGGTGTGTGTTTGATTTACTCATTTAATCGCTTTAAAAAAAGCTTTTAAATGGCGTGTATTGTGAAATTTTCGGTTTCGATTGGTGCCTTTACGTTAGCAGCAGTTTGGGATGAGAAAAGACGTCAAAAGTTTCATGAAGAAGCCGAGTCAATTGTCCGAAAATTTTACCAAGAAGCACAACGAATGGTAGTTGAAGTTTGATTCCTTTATTTTATGAAAAGAAGCTTTAGGGATCACCGGATAAGGAGCCAGAGTTTGAGCTTTCGCCCGGTATGAAGTGTGCGCTATTTCTTGTCGTCGCCAATTGCACGGTCACCGCTTTATGGAAAATCCCACAACTGAAGGCGTTTATGTGGCGATATTTTAGCAACAGGTAATTTTTTATTGATGCTTAATATTTGCTTGAAAATTCAGTGAGGTTTTGAGATAAAAGGTTTTAGTTATGCTCGCCGATGTTGCTCTCCGCATTTTCACACTCATCATTGCTACATCTTGGCATCAATATGTAGGTTAAGGGCTACTTATCTTTCACTAACCAATAAATTTCAGGTACGTGTTATGGACGTTCGCAAGTGTAAGTCCAATTTATTGCTTCTAGCAGATCCTATGTTTTCCAAGCATTCAGTCAATACTTTTGACCGAACTCTTGAGAAACATAGAGAACCGTAAGCCTTTTAATTTTCTGTAATTCTTTAGTTTATCTATTCTAGGTTTCAATTGATAAATTCCTTGGCGTGCCTCAATTTTGCGCTATGTACGCATCGGCGAGTGTGGTCTCTTCACTGACGTCCCTTATGCACAAATCCGCCATCCGTTCACCGATTAGAGCCCTTGGAGCAGTGAGTTCTTATAAGTTTAAAGCCAAAAGCAAGGCAATCTTAAAATTATTTCTTTCAGAGTGGAGCTATTCTTGGATTACTGGCTTATACATGTTGCAAGGTAGGTAGTTTTTGGAGCTTTTTTAAAAATTTTTATTTAGATTCCCGAGGCGCGTCTACACATCGTCTTCTTGCCCTTTTTCGACTTCTCGGCACAATCAGCGATTATCGGAGTGATTTTATTCGACTTGGCGGGACTATTGTTTGGTTTTAAGTAAGTTTTTCGAAAAAAGTAGATTGAATGTTAAAATTTAAACGTTCTGAAAAGATTTCTTTTCATAAATTGTGCGCATGAGATATTTTTTATTTTAGGTTTTAATTTAGATTATTCGATCATTTGGGAGGTGCTCTTTTCGGCGTCGCTTATGCACAATATGGAGAAGAATTTTGGAAAAGGTAATTATTTTTACTATGAATTTTGTAAAACTTTGTTTATAGATACAGTCCGACGATTGGCAAATGGCTAAATTAACAAAAGAAGTTTTAAAAATATGTTCCCTCTTTTAGCAAGTACTTTTGGGAGAAAAATTTTCTGTGATTGGATCTCGTTTATTGGTAATTTTATATATTTCATAAATTTTCGAACTTGCAAAAGTTTTCTCCACAAATCGTAGTAGTTCAAGAAAAAAGGGAATGCGCCGTTCTTTTTACTTGCCACTAAATATTCATTTTCTAACTTAAATTCACTGGTAGAGGCAAAAGAGATTGAAAAAATATTTTTTTGAGATTTTGACTCATGTGGGGAACCACATGGTCGAATTTGAAATTTTTTTTATTTTGCTTCAATTTGATCAGAAACGTAATCAGTAGGTTAAATTATGCCAGAAAAAGTGTTTTTGGCTTCAAAAAATGTTTTGAGAGATCATTTTTAGACCTCTTTGCTATGTGTATCCCTCTCATCACTCTGTAGAAGCGCGCACTTTGGAGCCCCGAAACTCGGCTTAAAACGCATTTTCCCAAGTTCTCGTTGTGTTTTTCGGGATCCACGCATAAAACTACCCCAGAAAAAGTGGTTTTGAAGAAAAAAATTGGGTTATCGGACATTTGATAAGCACCCCGCCCTTTTTGTCATTAGCAATTCAACTTTGAGCTCAAATATCTTTGTGTTGGGCTGTCGAATTTCAATATTCTTTGTATCATTAGATGCGCCAAGTCTTTCTCTATCGATTGGTATAAAAACTATTTCAATTGAAGAAGCCGAACACCAAGATATTTGAGCTCAAAGTTCGATTGGCAATGGGAAAAGGGGCGGGGCGCGTATCAAATGTCCCACAATCAAAAGATTGTGGCTTAGCGTCAAAAATTGTTTCACCCATCTCGTAGCCAAGAAGGCAAGGAATTTTTTGATAAAAAACTTGAATTGGCTTGCTCTTTTGGATTGTGAGAGATTTGATTTTAAACGTTTTCTATGGCGCTGTTTTAAGTAGATCTCGATTGATTGAATGAAGCCAATAGCTGGATTATGGCAGTCTTTCACTGCAATTTCACATTTGTTTAGCTTTGTTACTCATTTGTTTTTTTGTTTTTCTACGCTACTCATTTTCCTGCTCGACGAGAATCTTTAGAAAGGCTTTGTTGGGGAAATCAAATTTCACGCCGAGTGTGTGCGCTCCTTTTTGGCACAAATGAGACGCATTTTCTTGCGATTTACTTTATCTTATTGCTCAAATTTTAAATAGAAAAGAATCTTCTCTCATCAATTTCGAGCAGTAATTTTCTTTCACATTTTCTTAAAAATCTATACTTACTATCTCTTTTTAGTCTTGTTATCTGAATACTTTTTCTTCCGGCATACTGTTAGACAAGAATCTGAGATTATCTGTGAATTTAACCTTAAAACAATCAGCTATGATAAAATTTTCAGCGATGGGCTCATTTGCGATATTTTTTGATTTTTATTTCCTCGCGTTTTTCGCTGAAATTGTCTCGTCAACACTTTTGAGTAATCGAATCGCTCATTCGAATTCCACACAAAATCGCGATGAGTGCCCGAATTTGCACACGAGAACTGAGGGATTTAATTTGGTTTGTGAATGAGTGAATGGAAATGGATCTGGGTTTGGTACTTGGGTTTCAAAAGAGCTATTGGTGATGACTATGAGAGAAACAATCATTTATTAGGTGTGTTGCAATAGTGCCACTCCACCGTTCGAACACTATTCACCGATTGGACTTTGCGAGAGTGACAAGTGCGAGTGTAGCCTTCAAATCGGCGAGTTGAGCTGTCGAAAGGAGGTTCGACTTTTCAATACAACTTTGAAAATGAAGTGTTTTTATAAAAGATGCGATAAAGAGGTCAAAATAGTCAGAATAGCGCCGCCAAAATAGTGCCGTTCAAAGCAGCGCCAAACTTCAAGATTTTCATGATTTCAAATTTTAATGTTGATTAACCAACGCTCTTTTGGCGTTTTCGATAAAAGCTTTCGTTTTTGCGCATTCTCAAGTAAAATAGTAGATGAAAACTTGTGTATTCAATTAACGAAATAAAAAATGAAACAACGGAGTTTAAATGAATTAAATTTATAACAAAGATAAACAACAAACTTTGTAACTCGTTAATAACGGAGGTCATTTGTTTAAAGGCTTCATCTCGAAGTGCAAATCAAACGTCCCATCAATACTCCAAATTGAGCGCTAAAAGTATTTAACTTTTGATATTCAAGTTGGAAGTTTAAAGAGTTTAATATACCTGCAGTAACATATCGATTCTTCAACTTCATCCTTTGGATATCTTGAAGGAGTCTGGTGTTCCAAATGATGGCAGGATTGTTCTGGTAAGTGAAACCTTTTATTTTGCACTGTCTAGGCAAGGTTTTCGTTGAATCTTTGTGGCTAGAACGTATCAAAATTTATAACATAGTGAAATTCATGCCACTATTTTTGTGCTATTCGGCCTTAGTTTTGGACATTGTTAGATTTACATTTGTGGCTGGAATGAATTGGCTAAAATTGTTTTGAGACTCATGCCTATATTTTTAACGATAAACTTGATCTTTTTTAGAAACATTTGGATCTTCCGAGGTGGTTGGAGTATAAAAAAAGCTGTAGATGTTGCAATGAAGCCGGGCTCTGAAAGAATGCCAAATGCCATAGAGGCCGTCAAGAAGCACACGCGATTGATGGAAAGCGGCTTTTTCGATGTCTACACCAGCTACGACTCTTTTCGCATTGAAAATCACCATAAGGTGACCTCTTGGACTGACGGAAATTTGCATTTGATGAAAGAAGCCGTTCAAAGCCATTTTCGCGCCCAACACTACAAACGCGGAGCCGACGACGAGTCTGACTTCATTTGTCGCTTTGAATCTCGACCGACGAATCTGGGAGGTTCTCGCAAAAACACCCTTGCTTATGTCCAGCTTCATGGAGAGAAAGAAGAGACCAAGTACAATGTGAAGTAAAATTTCTCTAATTTAGAACAATTTAATTATCAAAATTTGTTTAGATGTCACCACTTTGGATCTTCCAGCCATTCGGCAAAAGGGCAATCTCCGGACATAAAAGAACTCTTCTGCTACAAGCTGCTCGAATTGATCAACGTGGGTCCGCGTGCGCAATTCATTCTTCCGAACAAATTGATTGGCAGCAAAACTTCCATGTAGTGATCTTGAACGTTTCTCTTATTTACGCATAAATTTTAGGTACATCGCAACAAAATGGAATGACGATTTTGTCCCCATTTCCAGCATCAAAAAAGAAGAAGACGTCAGCGTGGAAGTTCTTGTACAACTGCTTGGCACGTTTCTCTTCATCGATGATTTACATCCTGAGAATTGCGGTCAGCTGCTTTTTAAAATACAAATTTTAATGGTTTACGAGAAACAAAAGAATAATTACTTTAATTTAGGTCAATGGAAAGGCACCAAGGAGGCGGCGAATGTTGACTTTATGCCCAAGGCGTGCACTACCTACACAAATGTTAAGAAAGCCCTTCTCAACAGTGATTCATCAGTGTATTGGGAAGCAGTTCACATCGATGCGTTGGAAAAATGCGAGGAGAAAACGCGTTTGGAGATGGCAAAGGAGTGCCTGAAGAAGTGGGATCTGCCGGCCAAGATCGACATGTCCAATGAAGAAATTATGCCCGTGAAAGATCGAATGAAAAAGCAAGCAATTGGCTTCAAAGGCTTCAACAGTCCTACCGAAGAACTGGATCAATACATAAGCGCTGTCAAGGAAAACTTGGCGAAATTGACTGATATTTTGAAAGCCAACGAGTAGTTGTTGTTTGTTCTGTAAAATAAAAAAAGTTGTGAATTAGATTATTGTTTATGAATAAATGGGTTATGATACAAGTTTTAAACTAAAGAAGATCACTAAATTTTTGCTACTAACAAGGAAGAGGCATGAGGGTGACCTTTTGATATGGGAACTAGTCTATCTTGTAGAGTTTTTTTTATGAGGATTTCGAATCCGTTTTTACTTTTTGCCGAATGGCACGCAAACGCGAGTTATTAAAGGGGGTGTTTCTTTTATGGCCGGTTCTCGGTCAAAACTCGTATAATGCAGCATATATTAGGTTGATGCATAAGTCTTTTCGTTTTTTTCGTACTTCTGTTAAAAAGTAACAAATTCACCAATTAATCTATAGTTTGCTCTATAAAAAAAGTGTTTTTTTGTTCAATTTGCATCTTTTTAAATGAATTTCGGTTCACTTTCAAGCAAATTCGAGAGTGAAAAACGCCTTTTTCGTAAAAATCTATAAAAAACTCTACGGAAAAATTGGCTGAATGAATTTCTCTGAAATTTTGGCGAAATATCAAACGTTTTTTTTCTCTATCTTTTATCTATTGACACGAAGATAGGTTTTCTTTAGCTAAGGTGTCTAAACCGCATCATCGAGTTAGCCCTTTTTGACTACCCGACTTCATACTCTCAAGAAAATCCAGGCATTAAATATTTTTAAACCCGTTTTAATGTTATTTTGCAGAAAAATAATTGGTTTTTCTAATGAAATCAACCGTAGTTTAATTGGTGCATTTGTTGGCTTGAAACGGCAGACGAAAAGGAACGAAAACACTTATGCATCAACCTAATAGTAAAAAGTGTGTAAAAACACTAGTTGTGATCCAAAAACAACAAAATCGATCCGGCTGGATGCGTAAAGTGGAGTTTTAGATGGGTACAGTCACGGAAAGTTTTGAACCATACCACAGCGCCACATATGTATGTAGTAATCCATTTCTTTTGATTCAACTTCTTATGGTCGTAGGATTGTCATTTTTTCCTTGTCTCCTTTTTGCTTTCACAATAACCTATTTAGTAATAATAATTTAGGTGTGCAATGTCGAATGACGAAGAAGATGAAACTGTTTGTGAAAGACCAAAATTCGTGCTAGTCGAGTTCTCTCAATTGGAAATCCTTCTCCAACGATGTATAAACTGTGGAAAATTGCCAGGAGGCAAGAACACGGCGAAACAACGAACGATTACCTGGACTCAACGTGGAACAAATATTACAGCACAAATGCGCTGTTCATGCAACAATGATACTAGAAAGAGATGGTCTACCCAATCCTACATCCCAGGCACAAAGACCCGGGTTGGAAATAAGGCGGTTGCAGCTGCTGCACAAGTCGCTCCTATCTCCTTTCCCGAATTATCTTCGTTTTTCTTGGCTGTACAAATACCTTTTTTAAAGAGAAGTCAATTCTGGCGACTTTCGAGACATTTCGTGTGGCCAGTGATTGAGAACGAATATATGTCTAAGCAGCAAGAGCTTTTTGCTAAATTGAAATCCCCACTAAACGTTGCGGTTGATGGTCAGTTCGATAGCCCCGGATATTCGGCCGAGCTTTGTGCTGTTACGGCAATAGAAACTGTATCAAAACAAGTGATTGGGTTTTCAGTCGCACACAAGAATGAAGTGAACAACAAAAGTACAAATATGGAACTGCAAGGTGTCAAAAACTGCATAGAGAATTTATCTACCAAAATAGCTATTCAGGGAATTACGACAGATAAACACCCTCAAGTCGTTTCGTATTTACAAACAAAAAATTACGAACTATCATTTGATCCTGGGCATCGCCTCAAATCAATGAAAAAGAATCTGAGGGCTTTGGTGAAGAATATCGGAGCGAAGAAGAGAAGACTTTAGTAAGAGAATTCGGTAGAAGGCTAATTCTCCAAGTTTATTCGTCAATTGAAAAGTCGAGTGGAAATTCCAAGCTTTGCCAGGAACGCATTTTTTTGTTTTTTTTTTTTTTTGCATACCCAAGGAATTCATAGTTAGAATCCAGACAAATACGATATTTTGGTTTTTTTTTGGTTAATAAGTTTGTACAAACATTGGCTCAAACAATTTTTGAATCTAGTTGTTCTAAGTTGTTGCAAATTTTTAGCTGTCTGGATTTTAAGGGAAAATTAGGCAAAACTCTCATTTCTCAACTTTTAACTCTCATTTCTCAACTTTTAACTCTCATTTCTCAAAAACTCTGCATCAGATCGGGATGAAATTTTAGCGTATAATCAATAAAACTTCAATTGTTATTAAAAAAAGAATTAGAGGAAAAGTTATGGTTTAGTTTTTTTCAAAAGTTCGTCTAAAGACGCCGTCATTTCAACCCAATAGCTTCCAAATACTGTAAAAGGGTCTATCCCAAAACAGCGCCGCCAAAACAGCGCCGACCAAAACAGCGCCGAAAACAGCCGACGGCCGCGGCCGCCAAAGCGCCGCAAAGCCCCGCGCGCCGCCACGGCGCAACCACCGAAAACAGCGCCAATGCAAAAACGCCCAAAACAGCGACGAGCAAAAAAAAATATTTTATAGATTTTTGCTTTTGCTTTTTCTTTGCTGTTTTTAACTTTTTCTGTCCACTTTTTGTGTTTTTAGGGTAAAAAAAAAGGCGGAGAATCCGATTTTTTTAAAGCTTTACGCATAGAAACCTGCGATAGCGTTTATAAAATTGGTTTTAACCAAAAATAACAATTTTTTCCTTTTACGGCCTGTTTTTTAACATTTTCACTAACTTTTTATTTCTACTACGGTTCACTTGAAAGCTCTAACCGTTTATGTTCATCATCGCTAGTGTTATGATGTTTCAGAGTCTCTTGGACCATTAATTTGATGCTATTTTAATGTTTTTTATGCATCGTTTAATTGTTATGTTTATTGTTGTTGGTCATGTTATTTTTAAATAAATTATCAAAATTAAAAGCTGCTAATAAAAAAAATGAGTGTACATTGTAAAAGAAAAAAAACTTTGTTTTGCATCGGCGCTGTTTTGGGCGTTTTTCATTGGCGCTGTTTTGGGTACGGCGCTATTTTGGGTGGCGCTGTTTTGGTCGGCGCTATTTTGGCGGCGCTGTTTTGGGTTTTCGATTGTGCACTAGGTTCTTCATGAAATTATTGAACTATATGTTACAAACGTTGGCTATTTGACTGGCTATTTGATATTTGATTGACTCAAATGTCCTAGAAATATTCGTTTGACGGGAAAGTCTTGTCCGCCTTCCGAGTTTTGAAATTTTCGTTTATATGAATAATTAGCCGATAAATGTGTGGTTTTTTTAAATAAAAAAGGTTAACTATTTCGGAAATCAGAACTTTCTGATAAAACAAACCATAAAGCGATTGGTTTATTCAAAAGTAACGTTTAAAAAAAGCGGACAAGAATCTTCGGCCAATCGGATACTTTATTTGGATCAAAATGAAGCCAGGCCAAGCCATTTTTATTCTGTTTTTGGTTTTTTTACATTTCCAATGAGCTCCATCCACAATTTTTCCCGAATTCTCGTAAATTTCATTCCGATCTTCATTGTTTTAATTACAATTTCAGGCAAATAATGCAAAAAGTGCAAAAAGAAAGCTCAGAAATGTTAATTTTTGTTGTCATGACAACCGAGAAAGTCGAGTGAAAAATTTGGGGAAATCTGCAAGAGAAATTCTTGATTTAATTGTAATAAAGATTTCTTTATGATTTCTTTTCGATTTCTTTTTGATTTCTTTTTGATTTCTTTTATGATTTCTTTTTTTTTATAGCAAAGAGCAAGAGCAAAGAATTAGCAACGAGTAAATTGATTTTTTTTTCCAGAGATTGGATGAGCAACAAGTCACTGGCGATAATGTTTGAGTATGCTCGTGAAATCAAACTTTCGAGTGGATCGGTCAGCCCATTCCCCAACAATTTGTCTACATACTTTTTGGAATCAAAAAACATCACCTACGCTTGTGTGGCTTTTAAGAGCTCGGTGAGTGGCTTTTAAGAGCTCGGTGAGTGGCTTTTAAAAGCTCAATGAATGGCTTGGTTTTCAATTTTTTTTAAACTTTTAATCACAGATTTCAACTTTTAAGAGCTCGGTTTTAGATTAACGTTCTCTCGTGGGATCAACGAATGGAGAACATCACGACAAACGCGTTTCCTGTCCGAGATGTCAACACTGATCGACAAGTTCTCGTATTACAGGTAGAAAATAAACTCTACTTCGGTCAAAAAGTTCCAGAAAACTGTGATACATTTTTCTTTTTGCCTTTTCAGCAATTTAGACTTGCCTAACTTTACCGTTAAGGTTACAGTAAATTGCGTTAAAACGGTTCGGTAAAAGTAATTCTCTAAGTAATTCTTGTTAACGTTTGGGGTCAAAAAGGATGCTTTAAAAGTGCAATAAATTGTTGCCCACAAAAACGCGCATTATTTCTCCTAGTAGTTCAAAATCTAACCAAGCCAAGACGAAAAATGGATGGTTTTTGGGAATCCTTGTTGGGAAGATCCTTGTTGGGAACATCCTTGTTGGGAACATCCTTGTTGAGAACCTCCTTGTTGAGAACATCCTTGTTGGGAACATCCTTGTTGGGAACATCTTTGGGAAAATTGACTAGAATTGAAAGAAAAGGGTGAAGCTCGTTATCTCCCATATATAATCTCGAAATGTCATGCCGATAGCAGGATACGCCATGGCTGAGTGGCTAGCGTGCTCGCACCGGGTGCGAGGGGTCTGGGTGGGGTCAAGGGTTCGAATCCGCGTCCGGTCAAAATTGCTTTTTTTTTTCTTTTCTTAAGAAACCTTTTCTTACCAAAAGTTCAAATCTAATAGAAATAACCTTTTTAAAATAAACTCTGGTTTTAGAAAACCATTTTAGCAAGGGATTTTCGACTGACAAAATTTTAGAAATTATGCCCCCTTCCCAAATCAAGAGCGGGAAAAGTGTACGGAGAAACAGTGCATAATTCCAAGCTTTGGAAGAAATTTTCAGCTTTCACGCATCTGGTTTAAGCCTTTTGAGAACATCCTTGTTGGGAACATCCTTGTTGGGGACATCCTTGTTGGGCACATCCTTGTTGGGGACATCCTTGTTGGGAACATCCTTGTTGGGGACATTCTTGTTGGAAACATCCTTGTTGGGGACATCCTTGTTGGGAACATCCTTGTTGAGAACATCCTTGTTGGGCACATCCTTGTTGGAAACATCCTTGTTGGGGACATCCTTGTTGGGCACATCCTTGTTGGGAAAATCCTTGTTCTAAGTATGCCTATTTAGACAAAACTCGTCCAACCAACCTCCCGAAGCAATCCGCTCATTGTCGTGGCGACAAATGCCGGAGCCATGGTACAAATCCCCAAAATTCCGTTTACAATTTCTTTTAGATCTATTGCTCAAGATCGCAGAAGCTTCTTGCTTGGAATCCACTCGATGTCGCTGTATGTTTTTGTCAGCTCAATTTTCGATAATCCTCACAAAATCTAAACTTTTAGATTCATTATGATTGTTTCTTTTTAGAAAATGGTATGACGAATAACTGATTTGTAGAGGTTTTGCATGTCTAACCCACATTAAGTTCTTGTTCGTAAAAGCTAAAGCTAAAAGCTAAAAGCTAAAAGCTAAAAAAGCTTCTTTTCTATCTCTATATCCAAATCGATTTAGCTATCTGAGGTACTCGTTTGTAACGAATCGAGTTTGTTTACTAGAGGAATCACTTGGGTGGATAATACGATCCTCGTCGGATCGTACACGGGAGAGATTCTGCATTTTGTTTGCGGTGGAGAGAATACGGTGAATGTCAAGAAGCCGCTGATGGTAAGGGAAAGGGTTGCGCTTTGTGAACTTGTAGAAACATCCAATTGCAACTCTTGCACAAGTTCTTGTTCTTGCAAGTTCAAGAAGCAAGTTCTTGCAACTCTTGAGGCACAAAGTAGATTAACTTTGTCTTCAGTTTCAAGAGTTGGAAACGGGCGATAAAGAAAGACATAAGACCCTCCCCTGGCGGCAATAGAATACGTGTAGTTGTAGCTCATTGGTAAAGCGTTCGAATCGGTAAGCGAGAGGTCACGGGTTCGAATCCCGGTGTCGACCATGTTTTGTATTTCAACCCATAAAAGAACCGGCGCGCCGGTGTGTCTAACTAAATATGGAGGACTGGAGATGTTCAAAAATGGAGGACCAGTTTGAGCACTTTCTTCAAAAAAAACCCATTTTGGTGTCAATAGAAAGGTTGTAGAGAATCGAAAATTAGGCTTATAGCCAAATTTCCAAAAAGATACACTTAGTAGTTTCGCTTAAAATGCAAGTTTTGTGAAAATTCGTACATTTCGCATTTCTTGAAAACCAGCTTTTGAATCGTTCTGGAAATTTGGATATAAGCTTGATTTTTGATTCTCTACAACTTTTCCATTGACACCAAAATGGGTTTCTTTTGAAGAAAGTGCTCAAACTGTCACATATGACAATAGCCCGCAGTTTTCGATTCACCAATCCAATAGCTTTCCAAAGTTGTAAGCCGAGTGCCGTTCGACCCGCTACTCATTTATGGGATTTCTCAAAGCGATCATGTCAAAATCACGTTGAGATTGAATTTATTATGTTAATGTACGAAATCTCACATCCTCTACGCAGTTTAAGTGCAAAAATTCTTGAGAAATTTCATCAAAACTCACTTAATATCGTCTGTTTTCACTTAAAAGATTTATTTTCTAAAAAAGTGGCCATGAATCGTAACTGATCAAAGCCTATGAATCTATAAAATAATAGAAATAATAGGAAAAATGGTCAGCGAAGAAAATGCCACAGCTTAGAGTACATGCTGAAGATTTTTGTTCGCTGTCTGATAAAATTCCGATAAAATTTCGAGAATGGTACTTGGAGTAATTTGGAAATGCAGAAAGTTTAGTTTAAGGATTTTCTTGATCCAACAGTATCGCATTTTATTGCAGGAACACCGAGAACCGATCTGCGACTTGGCCACTTGTCGCTTCGATGAATTAACCTGTTCAGCGGATATGGGAGGAACGGTGATTGTTTGGGGAACGAAATGTAAAAGTGTTGCGAAAAAGATCAGCACCGAGTAGGTTTAAGAAATTGAAGCATTGGGCTAAAAAAAATCACTCAGACAGCCGATCAGTGTGATCAATGTGCTACGAAAACAATGCATTGTCGGCACATTGCGGGGTAAAGTTCTCTTTTACTCGACTGTGACGGCTGCTTTAATGGCTGAGGTTTGTTGAAGCAAAAGTTGGGCTCTTTTTTTTAGAAAACTCTTTTAGAAAGGCTCTCTTTTATTAGGTTGCCAACTAAATAAGCAGACTTTTTCACTAAAAATTGATTTTACAAATGTTGGATGAAGTACTGTTTGCTTTGGAAAGATCATTGGATTTCCTCTGCAAAATGGTTGTTGGCAATTTATTAGGTTGTTTGGATACAAACGAGCATTTGCACTGCTTAACTCGTGAGGAAGCCATTTCCCGCATCTGATCGTCTTTCCAATGGCGTGGAGATGCTCATCAATAGTAGAAATTTGAAGAAAGAAACATGAACATAGGTTGTAGAAGCTCGAAATACACAAGGACCTTGTTATTCCACCATACTGAGAGCATGACCTTTTTCCCATGAATGTCCGGTTTCACGGTCGGATTCGGCCGTTCTCCTGGTCCTAGTCATTTCCGTTTTCGAATAGTATTATCGAAATGGATCCATTTCTCATCTCCAGTAACGAGAGAATCAAAAAAGCCATGATATTTAGCCTGGCGGATGAGGATTCCGGCAATAGCGATCCGTGAAGTCTTGTTTGCACTGCTTAACTCGTGAGGAAGCCATTTCCCGCATCTGATCGTCTTTCCAATGGCGTGGTGATGCTCATCAATGGTAGAATTTGAACATAGAAACTGTTGAGCAAGTTCACGCGTCGTTTGACATGGATCTGATTTGATTGCAGCCCTCAAAGTATCGTTGTCTACCCCTTGAGGTCGACGAGAGTGTTCATGATCCTCGAGACTTTCATCACCATTCCGAAAGCGTTGGAACCAGGCTCGGCATCGGCTTTCGGACAATACATCATTCCCAAGTGCTTTGACCAAACCAAATGAAATCCCGCTACTGTTTTGCCCAGTTTGAAGTCGTAAAGTAGGCGAACTTGATATATTTGAAGTCGGTCATCTAAAGCAAGAAAAAAGATCTTAAAAATAACAAATTATCCGTTTAAAAAGATTCCAAATATGCACAAGATAACGTACTTTTAAATACAAAAAGACATGTTTTAAATGCTTTAAATAACGTACTTTTAAATACAAAAAGACATGTTTTAAATGCTTCTCTCACAACAAAAAGTTTAGCAACGTTTGCTTATATCCGAACAACCTAATAGAAAAGCTTTCGTTTTTCGTTTTTCGAGAGCGCAAAGGCGAGTAGGCAAAATTAGCGAGAATCGACGGTTGGAAACGTTTTTTTTTGATGGGAACTAACACTAACTTTCTATTAGAGTTGTGTTCCTTGCGAGTAAATAATTACTCGAGTAAAATTTGCATGATTACTCGATTAATCGGGCGTTTTTTGGTGGAGTGACTACAAGTGATCCTCTTTACACGTCGAGTAAATTGAATATCCTTAGATGTGAAGGGAATTTGCCACCAAAATCAGTTAAACGACTGAATACCTTTAAAAAGTGTCGTATATAGGCTCGTATCGCCATTTTTGCGAGGCTCGCCATTTTTGCGTCAATTTTTTGCAATACAGTCATGGGCAAAAGTCTTTTAACGTTGGTTTTTAGAAGTTTTTTCTTTGTATATCTCCTTTATACAAATCTCTTCTTAAAATCTATTGAGCAAAGTTGTCCTCATAATTTCAATAGATGTCCTTCACACATCGCTAGGGCTAAACTTAGGCTTTACGTATTTACCAGTAGACTTCGGCAAACAAAACCAAAACCAAAACAGACCAAAACCAAAACCAAAAACCAAAACAGACCAAAACCAAAACCAAAACCAAAACTCAATTTGCATATAAATTAACATGTAAATTTAAAATTGTAAAATGTAAATTTAAAATTGTAAAATGCAAATTTTAATGTAAAATGCAAATTTTAATGTAAAATGCAAATTTGCCTTTCACTTTTTCTCACTCCACAAATTCTCGCGGCCGAAAAAAGGACCAAAACACGACCTCGAAATTTCGAAACAAAAAATAGCCTATGGGATAGATTTTTGGATGCTGATTTCAAATCTGCAAACAGATTTTCGCTAGCTCCTCCCAGTCGCGAGATATTGGCGAGTTTTGGTTAGTTTTGGTTTTGGTTTTGCTTTTGGTTTTGGTTTTGGTTTGTTTTGGTTTTGGTTTTGTTATGGTTTTGGTTTTGGTAGTTTTGGTTTTGGTAGTTTTGGTTTTGGTTAAGTTTTGTTTTCCGAAGTCTATTTACCAGTATTTACGGTAGATCACACTTGGTTCAGCCATCATTTTTTCAACTTTTCCCAAAAAGTTCGATTATTTACTTTACAACCTAATAGATCGTATTTAAAGATCGTACTATTGTATTTAAATTTCCAATTTACATTAAATCAACCTAATTATGGTGTTATTGATCGAATCATTTGCAATTTGCATATTCTTTATGTTAAGTCAGTTGGTGAATTGAAATTGAAATCAAATTGACTTTAAATTGACGTCGAAGTGTCTTTAAATTGACGTCGAAGTGTCTTTAAATTGACGTTGTCCGGTTTAACTTTGAATCCTTTGAATCAATCAATGCGGAAATTCGTTGAGTTGGAATTCATTCTAGCAACTTTTTTAACAAAAAAAATTAATAGACAACGATAAAAAGAATATTAAAACACAAAAAGATGAGTAGTAATGCTTTATACATTGTTTAAAACTATGATGCCGATGCTGCGCGCACGTAATTTTCAGCCACCCTGTACATTATCTAAAATTCTACATTATCAAACTGTAAACTTCAAACTAAAATTTTCAGGTTGCTTGTCACGTTCGCCCCGTCACCGCCATCGCCGTTGCCCCGGAAAGCGCTTATGTAAGCGCTTCCCCAAAAACCTAAATTCCCCGGTTTTGCAGGTGATGACCGCCTCCGAAGATAGCATGTATCGTATTTTCAAATTGCACACACGAAAACCCGAAGCCTATCAAGTAGGAAAGCCGTTTTAAATTCGAGAACTCAAACAGCCCGAAGAACACAATCTTTCAGGTTGAATGGCGCCACTCGGATACGGTAAATGACGAGATGATCTGTGGAGCGCAATTCACAACTGGCCGAGGTGCCGGTCTGCTCCTTGCCTCTTTCGATCACTCATCCCTTCTTCTCTACAAAATTGCGAAAAAGCCTAAAAATGAGGATGGCGAAGAAACGAAATAAGGAAATTCGTAGAAAAACTCTTTGTGATCATTTTTCTTATGAGTGCCAAAGACATATCAGTTGTTGCATCAATAAAAATCTTGTTTCATCATTCAAAAATCATCATTTTCAAAGCTTACTAGTTAGAGATTAAGTTTAAACATAAAAGAGTTTAAAGCAATCAAATTTTCTCGTAAGTGTTCACAGCAATCTTTAAATTTTCTAACTATCGTATTTCCTCTAATAGTAGTGCACCCCGGTGAGCTGAGTTGGTGACTATTTTACAGTTCCCAAGCTTTCGCAGAAGCTCCACCCTCCAATCCCCCACTAGATCTCATCGTCAGCTACATTTTCCGACCCCACATCGATAGGTTCTGATAAGCGGTTCTCGAGATTTCGAGCAATTTAGGCGACGCTCATGGTGCACTACTATTAGAGGGAATACGTTATTCTGTATTTTCTCTAATTGTAGTGCCCTCTCCCCCTCCGCCCGGCCGAGCCGAGTTGGTGACTATTTTACGGTTTCCAAGCTTTTGCAGAAGCTCAACACTGGTCGAATCCTGTCCTTGCTCCTGGCTTAGCCTGGCCTAATTCTGGACTTGTTTCTGACCCTAGCCTGGCCGACAATTGCGACAATGAAGTCGAGGAAAACGATTATAAAATCCCTAATAGTAGTGCACCCCGGTGAGCTGAGTTGGTGACTATTTTACAGTTCCCAAGCTTTCGCAGAAGCTCCACCCTCCAATCCCCCACTAGATCTCATCGTCAGCTACATTTTCCGACCCCACATCGATAGGTTCTGATAAGCGGTTCTCGAGATTTCGAGCAATTTAGGCGATGCTCATGGTGCACTACCATTAGAGAAAATAAATGTATTCAAATTGTTGAATGCTAAATGCTTTTGTAGAAATCTGGGGTACAAAATTTTGAACTTTTTCTATAACTAACAAATGTTGAAGGATTTCTCATCACATTTAACATTTATTTTGAAATGAATACTAGCTTAGTTTTGTTATTGATTACTCTGATACATTTTCTTGATCATTTGATTCAAGATTTCAATACCAGTAGCACACAATTACTATGCAGGACCTTAAAGCGGGCAAGTTTATTCGATATGAAGTACGAATAAACTAAATTCCGTACAAAAGGGATTCTAGAAATGTTAGAATGATTGTCCAACCCAGTATGGCTTCTCTCGATTGACAAAGACGGAAATTTTAAAACGTTTGTAAAAGACGCTTTTGAATACGGCCTTGAATACGCTTTTGAATAAATTTTGATCTCTTAAACCCGGTGAAACACCGCTTTTAATCAAAAAACGATTAAATTTACAATAAACAATTAAACGATCAAAAACGATTAACAATCAAACGATTAAATTAAATAGATTTTACGAGTACTTAAAGCATTTTGGACACGATAAATTATCCAAAACCTCAAATAATTTATTAACACACCTTACCTTTTGTTAGCTTATACGAAAAATGAGATTATGTGTAAAGCTAGTAAGATTTGCAAAGGGTTACGAGTAAATAAGTAAATAGTCAAATAGTAAAATAGTAAAATAGTCAAATAGTCAAATAGTCAAATAGTAAAATAGTAAATTCGAGAACATAAATAAGCTCGATCTAGCTACCAATTTTCTACTGATCCAAATAACTTTCTGTTTTCAACTTTACCTTTTCGTAACCTTACATATTAGGTTGGAAAGAAAGTTCTCGCAAAAAAGTTTGACTGAAATTTCTTAATCCAAAAAAAATCCACCAATTCAAGAACGTTTTGTTCTATTATTTACAAGTAGGCTCCAAGAAATTACTCGTAAAAAAAATGAGTACAGCTTTCCCTTAGAATTTTAAGATTTTTGAGAGAAAAACGATTCCCTATGAGGTAAAGCTAGCATAAGCTGAGCTAGCATAAATGAGCTAGCATAAGCTGAGCTAGCCAAAAGCTGAGCTAGCCAAAAGCTGAGCTAGCCAAAAGCTGAGCTAGCCAAAAGCTGAGCTAGCCAAAAGCTGAGCTAGCCAAAAGCTGAGCTAGCCAAAAGCTGAGCTAGCCAAAAGCTGAGCTAGCCAAAAGCTGAGCTAGCCAAAAGCTGAGCTAGCCAAAAGCTGAGCTAGCCAAAAGCTGAGCTAGCATTTATCTAAATTTTAACTCAATGTTGTGATGCAGCTTCTTTAGCCCGTCCCTTACAAATGAGCTACCTCATAGCTACAGGCCACCTTTTTGCACCAGAAAAACGATTCTTGATGAGAAAAAGCTACTATTTTTGATAGCTTGCATCACCTCGACCTTTTCCTAATCATTTGCTTCATAAAAATTCTGCTCCTTCAAAGCTTAACCCAGCAAAAAAAAGCCCGTCAAAATGAGATTCTCTTCCCCTTTCTTCTATTTCCATTTCACAAAGCAATGCGCATCGCCTACCCTCCATTCCTCTGCACATTTGTGCGTGGGCTTTCCCCCTTTCTCTCCTCATTTCCCTTAGTATTTCTTCTCAACTTTTACTAGACGGTCTACTTTCGATCATCACAAGGCCCGTTCCTTCCTCGTTTCTTTTTCTCATTTATCTTCTTGTCTTTTTAAAGTCTTGTTTTTAAGCAAATTGCTTAAGTTAAGAGAATTCTTGTTTAGTTCAATTCAATTCCAGCAGTAAATTCCACCAGTAGTTGCCACTTTGAAATTATCATTTATCTAATCAAACGACTCTAATCAAACGACTTTTTCTTTAAAAAATTTGCAGAACTTTTCAGAGACATTTTTTCAAGCTGTTTAAGACTTAAAAGCTTTTTACTCAGAAATCTCTCAGCTTTCTAAATCAAAAATCAAATCGAAATTTTGTTCTTCTGTTCTTGATCACAAATTTTCCCTATTTTAAGTACTTGATTTTAGGTTTTAAATGGGACCCATTGCCTAACCATTAACCCATTAAAAATTTGTCTAAAGGCTGGTCACTCAAAAAGTGAACAAGTCACTTCAGCTGAAGAAATCTCTTCTTTTTACCTGAAGCCCTGAGGCCCTGAAGCCCTGAAGCGCAGCTTTTTATAAGAAAGTCTAATTTTGCCGAACCTTTCAAATTGTTAGCCTCTAATTATCCCATTTCTCAAAATCTTCTAAATTTCAAATTCATTCTTTAAAAAGTTTTCTTTACAGACCAAAAATTTCTTTTTTATTCATTCAAGCCGTCTCGAGAGGATTAATTAAAAGTGGTGAAAAGGGAAATTTTAGAAGAAAACTGACGGCTTTGACAATTTTTTTTTCTTTTTCTCTTGAACAAAATTATTTTGTCGCCAAGGCGACGAGGTGATTCGGTGAAAGAAATAAAAAAGGAAAGAATTCTCTTTTGACCGAAAAATTGGGAGTTTTGGTAGATGAAGGAGGGATTTGCAAAAGGCGGATCTCCTTTTCAGATCTCCTTTTCAGACAGGGAACATTTTCAAAGTTCATCCGAATTAAATCCAGTTTTTGCTTATAAGAAGCTTGCTTTGATAGCTAAATTGAATATAGCCAAAGCTCTGAATGATTGAAAGGGTTCTGAAAGGTTGAAAGAGTTCGCTGAATATCTTTTAAGCTGATAAAAGTCTAAAAATATCAATTTCATTCAAATATCATTTAAAAGAACCACATTTGAAGTTGGAACTCTGGGTCAAATTTGATCATTTAAAAGTCATAGCTTGAAGGTTTTTTTGAATACAAGCTAACTATAAGCTATATAACTATATAAAACTATAAGCCCCACTATAAGACTACTTGCTTTTTGGCCAGTAATCTCTTACAAATTAAAATTTTTTTTTAAAGTTTGTCCAAATTGAGTATTTGAGTATTTAAAACACTTCAAATGTGGGTCTTTTAAATGAAATTGATATTTTTAGACTCTTATCAGCTTAAAAGATATTCAGCGAACACTTTCAGAACCCTTTCAATCATTCAGAGCTCTGGCTATATTCAATTTAGCTATCAAAGCAAGCTTCTTATAAGCAAAAACTGAATATCTTTGATTTCTTTGATGTATTTTAAGATATTCAGCCTCTAAGCTGAATATCTTTGTATTTTAAGATACCATAAAACCTCTAATTTGAAGCATCCCCTATAAGGGCGTCGCGTAATCTACTCTCAAACAAACGCTCATATCTCGACACTAGCACGTTTTTTTCTGCACACTTTGATATCAAATTAAAGTAGAGAGGATGGGTGATTTTTTGAAATATAACACATATTTTTAGCATTAACCAACGCTTAGAACAAAATGATTGAAAAATGATGAAAAATCGGCTTTTTTTGCCACTTTTCAATCATTTTTCTAAGCGCTGGTTAATGCTAAAAATCTGTGTTATATCTAAAAAAAATCACCCATTTTCTCTAGTTTAATTTGATACCAAAGTGCGCAGAAACAAACGTACTAGTGTCGAGATATGAGCCTTTGTTTGAGAGTAAACTTAGATTACGCGACGCTTCTTTAGGGCTTCTATTAGAGCTTTTACGGTATTCAGGCTTTAACTGAATATCTTTCATTTCTTTGATGTGTTTTAAGATATTCAGCCTTTTAACTGAATTGACACATTGAGCACATTGAAAAACAGCAAGATCTTAAACTTTTCTTTGCAAACCTATTACCAACTCTGTTTTTGGGGTAGGCTAATTTCCGCAATTTTTTTTGCGCAACAGGGTCATTTGCGCAACTGGATCGTTTGCGCTTAGAAGAAAGTTAGAAGCGTTCGGTTTGCGTTCGGGTTTGCGGTCGTTAGAAGAAAGTTATGGCGAGCTGCGCAAATGACCCTGTTGCGCAAAAAAAATTGCGGAAATTAGCCTACCCCCTGTTTTGATCTCATTCAATTTTCATTCAATGCTTTTATGACAAACATTTTTAATGATAGACTTCGATTTACTTTTTAGAATCGATCGCAACCCTTAATTGACGTCAGCTGAATACGGGATTAGCACAGCGGGGAGAGGGGTTCACTCTTCAGTGAAGGGGTCCACTCCCCCTCTCTGGTCATCCAAACAGCATATAACCACTTTGCTCCCGACTAAAATTAATATTCCAAATTGAATTGCATAACCTAAACTTGCGAATTTTATCATCAAAGAATGGATTTTCGGAAAATCACCATTGCCTTTTAAGCCCATTCCATTCCATGTCTTTTAAGCCATCAACTTTTACTGAATTTTACTCTCAAGCTTACTTTCATGGAATTTTCTTGTTGAAATTTCTAGTATTAAAAACATTTTGCTTTGATCTTTGATTGAACCTTGATTTTATACGGTTTTTCATTTAAATTACATGTTCATAGTAGAAGTGTTATGATCTTTTTGTAGCAAACTTCTGTAGGGCATTAAGCTTGCTCAATTTTGATTTTATTGATGATTTATTTACTTGATATTTACTTGATCTTTACTTGATAGTTACTTTTTACTTGTTTTTTATTTTTCATTTGATTTACATGTTCAACGATTGAATGATAAAGAGAGATTTAATAATTTTCTCATTTTTCCAGGTTATGGGATGGAGGGCTGTTCTCCAGGTCACTCGATGTCCCCATTCGAGCTCTGTGATCACGATGATACAGCCTCAGCGGTGGCCGTCGATCCAGTGCTCGGCTTCAGGACTCACAAGATGAATGTCAAGTTGGTTATTTTTTGATAAAAATATGTCCAAGATTAACTGCTGGAATATTGGTTTGGCCGGAAAGTCTTGTCCGCCTTTTTGAAATTTTCGGGTACATCTTTCGGTGGGGGAGGGAGTGGATTTTGGCATGGATTTTCCGCATCATTTTTCCCAAGTTCTTAAAACTTTTTAGTACGAAATTGGTACAGAAATGTAGCCCTGAATAAGAGCTATCTAAAATAGCTGAATTAAGTTCAAAACCTTACAAAAAATGTGAAAAATCAAGAGGGAAAACATGGGCCAAAATACTCCCGATACTAAAGAAGTACCAATTTTCGTTTATAAATGAATAATTACGATCAACGTGTGGTTTTCTTTAAATAAAAAAGATTAACTATTTCATTTAGCTCATTTTTAGACAAATTTGAGTGGCAATTTGAGCAAATTTGAGCAAATTGAGCAAAAGAAATTCTTGTCTTTCCTAAAACCCTTGCAATAAACATAGAATGAAAATAGCTTGGTGAAATGTTAAGGAAATTTGTCTATCTGCCAAACTCTTCATTCTTTACCTTTTATCTTTTGACACAAAATAGGTTTCTTTGACAAAAGAGCTCAAAAGGTTTGAGTTTCATCGTTTTTGACTGCTGGACTTCACACCTTTAAAAAATTAACTAACGTAAGCTTTTCAAAGTTTCTTAAAGAACAATTTGTAAATAAATAATAAGGCTTCCTGATGAAACAAACCAGAGATCGATTGGTTCATTATTCATTTCAAAAAGTAACCTTTAAAAAAGCGGACAAGATTTTCCGGTCAAGCTGTTAATCACTTGCCAGCTTAAGAGCTTTTGACTCGTTTTTGACTCTTTTTGACTCCCCGACTTTACACCTTTAAAAAAAATTAACTAACGCAAGCTTTTCAGAATTTCTTAAAGGACAATTTGTAAATAAATAATAGGACTTTCTGATGAAACAAACCATAGATCGATTGGCTCATTATTCATTTCAAAAAGTAATCTTTAAAAAAAGCGGACAAGATTTTCCGGCCACCCTGCTAGTTTTGTATATATAATAGAATCATTGTAGTAAGAAGTTCGAAGTTAAATTTCATTAATCATCCTTATTTTCAGCTTCATTCCCCTGTCAGCCCGAGAACAGCTCCATTGCAAACAAATCATTCGCGACTTTCGAGATGACGGGATTTTCCGAAATTGTCTACAACAACTCTATGAAGTATCTAAATTCTAAAAAAATATGATTAAAATTTACCAAATTCAGTCCCCCTTCTTGATCAAATATCTCCAAAAGCAAAGTCCCAGGCAAGCGTCCAACTTCAAAATTCATGTGAGCGAAAGCAAAGTTAATAAGGATTGCAAAAGTGATTTAAGCTTTTATAAAAAAAATTTAGTTAACCCGGTTTCTTCAAATGTATCACATCGACGCTGGGTTTACGATCCAAAAATGTATTCGCTATTCAGCCGAGGGGAGGCTGGGAGCGATGTTGGTGGCGACAAGGAATTGGTGGGGTTTCAGAACAATCAGAATTTACATATAAATATTATTATGTATATGTCGTAGCCGATTATCTAGGAGCGTCCAACCATCAAGTATTTAGTATCATTCAACGCAGAATTATTGATAATTATGTTAAATTTTTGAAATTAGAAAGATTGGATAAAAAGAACACAAATTATGGGGCTTCAAAGTTTTCTCTTGAACAAACAGTTTTTTTGCTCTAATTTTTTTTCTTTTCATTAAATCTTGCTAATTTTAAAAATTTAACATAATTATCAATAATTCTGCACTGAATGATACTAAATACTTGATGGTTGGACGCTCCTAGACCCACTCATTCATAATCGGCTGAAATTCATAATCGGCTACGGGGGTCCCGCCGATTTTGAATGAAACGTTGTAGCGCCGCGGCAATTTTTAACCTAAACTCACAAATTTGGTACCAATCGACGCAGAATTCAATTCGCTACAAGATGATATAATATTGTCCTCATACATTAAAGGGTTGCTCTACTAGAAAGGCTTGCCAAAAAGTTTCATTCAAAATCGGCTACGACATATATATTATAACTTACATATAAATATTTTAACTTTAATTGAAATTTTAAAAAAACATTTTAGGAACAAATCGGATCGAATCGAAACGCTGATGGGCGTGATTGGAGAGATGTCGAAAGACGAAGAGCTCCAGCTGCTCAAAAAGGATCTCAACGATTTCTCTGTTATGTATAGTACAAGGTGAACAATTACAGTAATTGTTTGTTTCAATTAGTAGATGAATTGACATTGAAATTGAAAATGTAAATGAAAACCATTTCAGACGGAAACGAGCTCAACTTTGGCTTGGTCCCGGCTCCTACATCAATCACGATTGTTCGCCGAATTGCAAATTTGTGTCGAGTGGGCATCGAACGGCGGTGATACAGGTAATCTTGCTACTTTTGATAGATTAACGTTTCAACTTCAATAGATTGCAATTTTGTAATTCAACCTTTCATTTAGCCAACTTCTAGGATTGGGACTAGGTGTCATAAATAAAAAGAACTTTGGCCCATGAAAATTGAAAATTTTTAAGGTTAAGATCTTTAGACAATGTTAAAATTAACTTTGAACTGTAAATTATAATTGAAATTATTTTCAGGTCTTGCGAAATTTGCGAGTTGGCGATGAAATCACCTGCTACTACGGGGACAACTTTTTCGGTGACGGCAACGAGCGTTGCGAGTGTCTGACTTGTGAAAAGTTGGTAACAAAGCTATATATTGGGTTGTCCAGTTATGAATGCGCGTTTTTTGCTATTTTGTAAATTTCTCAAGATACCGAAATCAAGAAAAAGATATATATGAGTATTATTCGAAAGCTGAAGATCTCCTCTACATTTTGACATAAAACGTTTTTGAATTTATTCAGCTTTTGGGCAAATTGACTGCACAGAAGAAGAGGTGGCCAAAAAATGGAAGGGTGCCTTTGGATCAAGTTTTGGCTCCGCTCAAATTGAGTTAACCGTTTGATGTTTGGCCAATAGATATAAAAATACAAGTTTTTTTTAAATATAACAATTTCAGAGCATCTTTACTTTTCTTTTCTATTCTGGGCGCTTATTTTACGCCATAAAACTTGAGGAATAGCTAAGCTGAAACTGAAATGGGTTTTTTGAAAACGACTTCTCCCTTTGTGCAGTCAATTTCCCAAAAAGTTGAACAAATTCCAAAGGTTTTTATATCAAAATGTAGAGGAGATCTTCAGCTTTCGAATGATATATAACACTCATATAAATCTGTTCGATATCTTGAGAAATTTACAAAATAGTAAAAACGCGCATTCATAACTGGACAACCCAATAATCCTCTTGAGCAATTTTTCAAAAGCTTTTACTTTTTAGATTGGGCAAAGGAGCCTTCCGAAATGGTGAAGTTGACGAGAACACGAATACTTCTTCGTCGATTGGAAATCAAACCGATTTAGCGGCAAATCAAAAGATTTCTATTTCGGAAACGATACAAGAGACTTCGGCAGAAGATCCACAAAGAGACAAAGAAAAAGAAAAGAAATACGAATTGAGAGAAAGGGCAAAGAATTCGAATAGTGAAGACGAGATGGATCATGAGCCGAAGAAAGTTGTTGATGGTGAGTGAATGAAGATGGATTGGTTACCTAATTGCAATTGGATAAAACCAAGAGCCAAATTACTCTAGTGCCGAAAGTTGGCACCTTTTAGAAAGCTCATTACTCTAGATCATATCCAAATAATCATTTGTTTAGTGTTCGAAATGGATAACGACACGCTAATTACCCGATTGAGACCGAGAGTAATCATCAATCCGAAAAACGAGCTCCCTCAACACTACATTGCTGTATCGCCAAAACGGAAATCAAATCGACAAAATCTGGAAATCATCGAGACGCTGATCGAGAAATTCCCAAAGTCGCCCCTCAAAAAGAGAAATGGACACAATGGAAAAGTGAAAAGAAAAGGTTTTTTCATTTACAGTGAACTACATATTACCTGAGATTTTAGGTAAAAGTCGATTACTTCAGTGCACTCCAAATTTTGATCTCTATTTCCTTAAACCAATCACTGTACCCGAGCCGAAAGAGGGATTGCGATACTCGAAAAGGATAAGAGGTACGGCTTTAAAAGATCAACTTATAGTTTGAGTGCAAATGCGTTATTGAGCGAAGAATTGAAAAACTTACTGAATTTATAATCAAGTTACAGGTGTAAATCCCGAGGGAAATCTAAAAAGAATGGAACCCTCCGAGGATCATCTCGTTGAAATGAATGGACATGATAAAGATGAACCATCAACATCAAATGAGATCTCGAGAAGTCCTTCGCAAGATCAAGATGGAAATAGCTCGATAGAAGTAAGCGAAATTTCGAGGTGATACGCGCCCCGCCCCTTTTGCCATTGGCTATCTAACTTTGAACTCAAATATTTCGGTGTTGGGTTGTTCAATTTAAACTTTCTTGATATCATTGGATGCGCCAAGTCTTTCTCTGTCGATTGGTAGAAAAACTATTTAAATTGAGCAGTCCAACACCAAGATATTTGACCTCAAAGTTGGGTTGTCAATGGCAAAGGGGGCAGGACGCGTATCAAATGTCCCACAATCAAATTTCAAAGATTTGAAAAGAAGATTTTAGCTCTTACTTTAAAAGAATCTAGAATTAGACTAATAAACCCAAGTTCCAGTTGATAGAGTTAATGAAATGAATAGCTCCAATTGATTTCTCGACCCCGAAAATCTCCGGCTAGAATTTACAGGGTGGCTGAAAATTACGTGCGCGTGGTTTTCTTTTCATTGACAGCGCTCTGCAAACATATTTTGAAGAAGTTTATGTTTAAAAATTAGCTAAGCATTTGTAGTTTTTAAAAATCAAAACCATTTTTCGAAAGCTCTTTTAGTTTTTTTGGTTATTCTCATTCTCGTAATTTTCCAAAAAAGACCACTGCGCCGCGGGTCAGTAAAATTTAATTTCCTTCAAATTTCCTTTAAACTATTGTGTTACTCAAATAAGCAGCTGAAATTAAACAATTGATCCACAAAAAAATTTTTAACCAGCTCCATTCAAACATTTTCAGGGATCACACTCGCTAGACGCTGATGACAAAAATCGGCTTTTCTTTGATGAGGACAACGAAATGCCCAATTCGACGCAATCTCTACCCATTTGTGATCTTTAGAATCTCTAAACAAAACTAGACATTTTATCACTATTTAGCTCTTTTTTTCACCGAAAATCTTTCCATTTTTCTCTTCAGGGGACACTCATTTTCTTGTGGATCTCTCGTTTTTGTGGGTAGCCTGTTCCCGATAACTCTCTCTCTCACTCACTCATTTACCCCATGAAATTAAGAAAACGGTTTAGTCATTTAGCCAATAGTCTTGCCATCAGTTAAACAAAAGAACATTTTCTCTACTAAGTCAAATAATTAAGCATATTTGTTAGTAAGTACAATATTGTTAGAAGAATTGAGATGGTGATGTCACTGTGGCGACTCAAAATCTACTTTGGGTGATGCAAACTTCTTAATTAATGTTCAACTGTTAACGCTTTAGAACTTTTCGTACTGAAGCTGAAAAAAATCAGCTTTGATTAAATCATTTGCACTCATTGGCACAATACACTGTAGCTCAGTACCTTTTGGGTCAATTTGCACTTTTGATAAGGGAGGGTCAACCGGACGCGCTAAATCACATGATCCATTCGACGCAAAATTTCATGCTGATCATGATGTTGCTTTTCTTTTTTGCTACGCAGCACTCTGTCAAAAGTTATACGCGTTTAAAGTTTTGTAAGGAGCTTCAAAAATCAAACTACAACCTTACAACCTTCGTCTTCCGCGACGTCACTAGTTGCAGCGGTGGCAGAGCGGTGGTGAGTTAGAACGCAAGGCGGAGGTTCTCTGGTTCGGCTCCGGTAGCTGATTGTCTTTTTTCTTTTTTTAGGTTTTAATGCCTTGAATAATCTATAATTAGGGTTGCTCTGAAGGTCATTTTTGGGCAAGGTCGAGCAGGATGATACTGTCTAGAAGCTTTAGCCTGTGGTCTGGTCTCATTCGGAAAATCTTGGTCTACCTTCTGGCTTTGGCTGACTAATCCTGACTTTACTGCAGGCCTGACGCTTCATGGACTTATCAGAAGCCAGGTCGGACCTGGCTTTTGACTAGCACTAGACCGGTTGGGTAGGGTCGAACCTACACGCCGCTCGAACACTGACGACTCCAGACAAAATTAAATCGTAAGCAAAAGTGAATCCTAAGAATTGAGTTGATTCTTGAGCAGCTCAGATGTCCCTAAAGTACAAAAGAAATTCAATTTCGAAACTCCAAAGTGACATCATCGTTACTTTTTATAGCACTTTCTAGAAGTTTTAGCTTTTGTACTATCACCAATTTTTATTTCTATGTATTGATGTGCTTTGATTTTTCTACAAAAATTCCATCATATCTTTTTTCTTTTCTTGAGTCATCCCATTCTCTTTGAATAGCTTTATTTGTGTGAAACTTTCAGCAAATTTTCAACGATCTTGAAGGAAAAAAAATGTCTAGAGAATCTTTGTCATTGCACCGGTTTTTTTTTCTTTGTGTTTTGTGGTTTTGAAATGAAAAAAATTTGACATTTGACATTTGACATTTGACAAAATTTATCGAAAATGCAGTGACATTGAGACAGCAGAGAGACACCCGTTTTTCAGCTAGAAACATTTTCGGAACAAGGCAGCTTTTTAATGGAAATTTTTCATTAGAAGTTTCAAGTACTCAAGCAAAGAGATCAAATGTAAAAAGAATGGGAAATAAAGGAAAAATTGTGGTTGAAAAACAGTCGACTTCTTTAGAATCTGCTTTATTGGGTCATTTCACGAGATTAGTGTTCCCTAAGGCTCATAGGTTTAGCAAAGTTAAGAGGTCCGAGAAAATTTTCTAGTAAAAATTGGGTTTGCGGTACTTAATGAGTATCGGAGCCAAATCTAGTCAAAGGGTTATTTCAAAAAAGTTATCCAACTCACAAGGGAAGTACTCCAGCTCTCTACCACCGATTGCCAGACGCTCAAGAAGTTAAAGAATCGACTAAGTCCATACACATAGCAGTGGCGTACCGAGGATTTCGCGACTTTCAGTCTAACGGCCTGGGCTCCTCGAGGCAACCTCCAATCAATTTCCGTCAAAGAAATTATATTGTTTAAAGATTTCGGGCTACAAAACTGTCTAAATAGTTTTTTGAACAAATTCGAGGGGCTCGAGATTTTTGCATTTTAGTGCAAAAAATTTCGATCAAATTAGTTTAGGCAATTGTTTTTACAAAACTAACGTTATGATTTTCAGAAACTAGAGGAAATTTGACGAAAACTTGAAAAAACAAAAAAAAAGTGACAATGGCCAACTTCCACCGCGAAAATCTCGAAAACTAGATGGACAACCATTTTTGTTGATCAGCCCCGCCACCACAATTTCCTCTACTTTCTGAAAATTATAACGTTAGTTTTTATAAAATCAATTATTCATGCTTAAAAACCCGTTTTATCGAAATTTTTGCACTAAAATGCAAAAATCTCCAGCCGCTCGAATTTTTTCAAAAAACTGTTTATACAGTTTTGTAGCCTGAAATCTTTACAAAATATAATTTCTTGGGCGGAAATTGATTGGAGGTTGCCTCGAGGAGCTCGAACCGTTAGACTAAAGGCCCGAAATCCAGGTTAGCCACTGATTCATAGATATTTGGCATCAAAGTTTCCAACATCTCGCTTAAAACGCCTTTCCCGTTAATATGAGCCGGTGGCCTAAGTGGATAAGGTGCTGATCTACAAAGTGAGCTACGGATTTTTTGCTCGGGTTCGAGTCCTCGTTTCGCAATGTTTTTTGCCAAACGCACTGGCCTTGCCTGATCTAACCAAATCCGAGAAAGTTGCCTTTATAACAGCTCTTACTATTAAGTTAGGTCACATGGATCTTGAGTTGAATTTCGATGAACCAACCCTACGAATTTCGAGATTCTCCTTGATTTTTAAATTGATATTGGGAATTAATTACTATTAATATTAATTGATTAATAATTGCTCTCGTCAAAATCTGTGAAAGTCGACTATTTTCTCGAATCAGAACAAAGCTAGAGAATCGGTTGTTCAAGAAACTGTTTCGGGACAACTGCCGTGAGAACACTTTGTTCATTGGCACAAAGGGATTGAGGTCTTGTATCAAAGAAAATGATTAGATGCTCATCCCTTGTTGCTGCTCCATGAGCTGTATGCACATTCTCATGCAAAAAAATCCGCTTGATGTGATGGCCACCTTGGCGATTCTGAAAATTCTCAGTGTCAGAAGTTTAGGAAAGTTTAGAACAATTTCCTTCACTTTAACATTTCATATTTCCTCACCAGAACATAGAAATACTCGGGTCGCTCAAGATCCGCTATTGACAAGGAAATCCCTTTGAACTCAAGATCCTAAAAAGACAAATTTATCAGTTTTAACCCCATCATCACCTTGTGAACATTTGTCGTATCCTCTTTGAATCGATTGAAGAGAAACTCGGAGATATGAGTCACTAGATAACATTTATGTATTTAGTTTATTCAAAATAACTTACTAGATGTATCGTATCTTGTTTTGAGGTATCTAGGCTCGAGCATCGCTTTGAAATGGACTCGTTTGGCGAGCGAAGAGGCGGGCAAGAATTCGATCTCAATCTCTGGGTCTTGTTCATTCACTTCCATGAAATCGTCATCGGTCTGAAAAGGTACAAAGTTAAAGTTTTACATAAAGAATCAAATTTGCGACTCCTACGACTAAAGAAACCTCTAGCTTCGTTTAACCATTTTAAAAACAGAAAAGCTTGTTAATGTTTGTTCATAAGCTTCATTGAATAGCTTTTAAAACACTCATGATTTGAAAAGCGTTTCAAAAGCTATTCAATGAAGTTCAGATTAGGATCTTGTGCATGTAAAATACTGTTTTAAATTCTTAGCGCCTTGTTCACTTACCATTCTGATGAGTTCTCCTTCTTCCGGCGTTTGTGGGCTATTCGGTGATTGAGCGAGCCACTTTGTCATTCGATCCTTCAACGTACAAGGACCAGTGGGTAATGGGGCTTCTTCTGCTGGTTCCTGAAACAATTCGAGATAAAATTTATCATAGAATTTTCATCTTAAAATCATGTTTTACTTAGCATTACTAGGTTTCAATAGAGTTCTGTGTTCCTTAAAACAGTTCATGATAAATTTTGACTTAAAAATTACTCTACAAGTTTTTTAAAATTCAACAACACAAATTTGTTCCACTTGGCTTTTCCTTCTCTTTCTTTCTTTATTCTCTTGTATTTCCTCTTTTTTCTCTGATAAGAAGATACTGGATAGCTCAGTGGTTAAAGCATCTGCGCGGAAAGCAAAAAAGGTCAAGGGTTCAATCCTCTCTCCGGAAATCTTTCTTTCTTTACTTTTTTAATAAGTTTCTACTCACCGCTCCATTATGCGCCGGCACGGTGTCATCGCTGATCGATGAAACAGTCAAATGGCTTTCTTCACTCTTCGATGAGCTCTCCGTTGTCTCCGTTGTGTTATCCGACCAAAGATCTTCTGAAAATTAATATGTGAACAAGTTCATTATTGCAAACTCACTGTCCATTCCGTTCTCATCAAGTCTCAACTGGATATCATCGAGATTCTCATCTCTGGCCACCACTTTCCACTCTTCCAAATCCTGAAAGAAAACCTTGACTCCAGTAATTTTTAGACTAAAACTGTAAAGCCAAGTCTACTGTTTTGCAGTGTTTTATGTTGTTTTAGAAATAACACACCACTTCATCATAAATATGATTCTCTTCCGTTTGAATCGAAAGATCCTCCGAGATTCCAGCTAAAATTTGGATTTTTTGTAAAGAGACCAAACTTTTTCCCAACCTTCTTCAACTTCCGCATTCTCCTCACCATTCCCGTTTACAGTACCGTTAGTGGGATTTGCTAAAAAAAATTCATGATTACTGGATAACTTTTAAAATTATATTTTCTTTAATCAAATTCTGGTAACCTTCATGTGTTCCATTCTCTTGATGACCGTCTCCATTCGTGTCGTTTTCCATTGTCGCCGTTGGCGTTTCCTCGTTTTGACCGCTTCCAGAAGCTAAAATTTGTTTCGGATAGGCTGAGAAGTGAATTTTTAAAAATAAACCTTAATGATTCTTTTAGTTTAACTTATTATCTAAACGGATAAACATTTTCCAGTCAGATCACTAGTCACTACTCAGTCAGGTCTCACTATCAGATCACTCTTTAGCTACAAGGGTCAGTTGGAGTTTTATGATTTTGTAAGTTTTGTGTAAACTAGAAGTTTGTTTGTAAATTAAACGTGGAAAGAACATTTTAAGGAATTCATCATCTTCTCGTTTTTGCCAACTCACATCCACTGTCCCCTTCCGGTTCTCCATTCTCCACTTCTCCTCCTTCAACCTCAACCAGTTCTCCCGCGGCGTTTCGTTTACGTTTTCGTCGCTTATCGGTTGTATCTCCTAAATAGTGAAATAACTCGAATTCTATATCAGGCCTATAAAATAATGTAATATTTTAACTCATACTGTTCTAGGTTCAAGTTACAAGTCAATATTGTTCCGAAAAACTTTCCACTCACCAACGTCGTAGCTTCCAGCAACTCGTTGTCTCCTTGTAGCCGCTTGGGCTTTGATTCCCTCAAAAATACTCGTCCGCAACGAATCCATATTTGAGTGTTGAGTGAACATTTCAAGCGATTTACTCTGCATTTGCTCGTACACTTTTCGATCGGGCCAAATCTGGAATACAAGTCCTTGAAAAGTTGTTCAAGTAGGGTACGGCATATATATTTTACATATTTTACAGAGTGCGACATTTATAGTGTTGCGCTCAATGCATCTTTTTTGCTTTCTAAGACAATACATTAACCTAAGCTGAAAAACGACAATTAATCCTAAAATCTAAACGTAATTTTACATAAAATAGAAGAAGTGTAACATTTTTGATGACTTTGACAGCCCTAGCCGGGCAGTACAAAAAATGCTATGCGACATGATGCTGAAAAGCAGCAAAATTCGAGTTTGGGGTCTCTAAAACATCGTCGTTTTCCGTTTTTTCTGCATTAATACGTGTTTAGAGTTAATTACTATAAAAGTAGTGCTTTTTGAGATCTATCCTTGCAAATGTGTGGCTATCTTGGCTAACAAAAATGGGCACGTTTTGGATAAATTTCATATTTTGGGCAGCAATCACGTTTAAAGTCTTATATGAAATGAATAAAGTTTTAAATTTTTACACAAACTCATGAATCTAGTGAAAAAATGCCGTAGATTTTAAATATCTAAACCAAAAAACTGTAAACTCTTTTGGTTTTTGAGAAAATCATCCTTTTGTAGAGCGCAACACTATATATGCCGCAACCTATACAGTGATAAAGTTATAACCAATCATGGTTTTACCTTTTCGATTAGACGATCAAAGTTTGGATCTGGTCGAAGAGATCGCCGGGAAACAAGCTTCTTTCGACAAGTCGGACACTCTTTGTTTCCACGTTGAAGGGCTGTTGTGATGCATTCTTGGCAGAAACGATGAAGACACTCCTGGAAAATTGATTTTCTAAATATCAGCTCAAACCTAATGTAATAAAATATTCTTTTATCCGTTTCTATTCATAGTTTCTATTCATAGATTCTATTCAAACCTTTGTCGTCATTGTGTTCGTTAGAAGATCCAAGCAAATCGGGCAAACTAGCTCGTTCCCCAGCGTTCTCACCGTCATCTTGATCGGCTCAGAGTTCTCCGTGTGCGCTTTGTGCACTTTTCTTTCCTGAAAACTTATAATTCATAAACTAAAAAAGTGTAATATAACTATAAAGGTATCCTTAATTTTAAAACCACAATACCATGAAGCTTCATGAACTAAATAAGTGTAACATAACAACAAAGTTATCCTTAGTTTTAAAATTACAATAGCTTTATGAACTAAAAAAAAGAAAAAAAAAAAAAAAAGATTTCCCTTTTTTAAAAAAACAATACCATGAAGCTTCATGAACTAAATAAGTGTAACATAACAACAAAGTTATCCTTTGTTTTAAAATTACAATACCAACCCGATCATAGTCTGTCATCTCCATATCACGAGGATCATTGTTGTTCCCCGAAAAGGGCAATCCATCCAAACCCGATGAATCGAGCATCTAAATAAAAAAAGCTATAAAATGTGAATAAAAGTTATTGAAAATGAATGAATAAACGACAAATTCTAGTCAAATATAAAAGCTAAATGAAAAGAATTGTTGGCCAAACGTGTCAAGGTTAATATTGAAGTAAAAGTAATTTCAAATTCTTTTTCTAGACAAATTTTAGGCAAAATTGAAGCAAGCTAGATAATTACCACAAAATTTCGCAAAAATTTCGGCGTTCAATTCAAAGACAATTGCGTGCACACCCAAAGCCGAATCGCCTACAAACTCCGCATCGAAACGATCGACTGTCAAATAGGGAACAGATGTGGGAAGAGAAGAGATGGGAAAAGTGGGTAGACAATTAGAGGAAGTTATCGGTCAAAGACAGAGTTGGTCATTCTATTAGATAAGCAAATTCATGATCAGTTGACTCTTTTTCTTTATCCAGTTATTTTTGCTTCAAAGATTTGATAAACTTTAGAGGGTGCGGAATTTATAGCTTAATGCTATAAATGCTGTTGCGCTTAATGCATCTTTTTGGCTTTCTAAGACAATATATTAGCCTAAGCTGAAAAACAACAATTAATCATAAAAGCTACGCATAATTTTACAGAGAATAGAAGAAGTGTAACATTTTTAATGACTTTGACAACCCTAGCAGTATAAAAATGCTATGCGTTTGCTGAAAAACAGTTAAATTTGAGTTTGGGGTCCCTAAACAATTAATCATAAATTTTAAAATCGTAAATCGTTTTTTAATACGTTTTTAGAGTTAATTACTATAAAAGTAATGCTTTTTGAGTTTCATTATTGCGAATGCGAGCTTACCTTGACTAAAATAGGCACATTTTTTTTGACAAATTTCTTTTTTTTCAGGAATCATGTTTAAAGTTTAAGAAATTAATGAAATTTTAACTTTTTACACAAACTAGTGGAAAAAACACAAACTTTTCACGAATCTAGTGAAAAAACTGTCAACTCTTTTGGTTTTTGAGAAAATCATCTTTTTGTAGAGCGCAACACTATATATCCCACAGCCTGGATGATCAAGATTGATTTTTATAGAAATTCTTGTTCTTTTTCTTATTCTTGGTTAAAAACTTTCATTTACAATTTTTACTTTCAATTTTTATTTTCAATTTTTACTTTCAATTTTAATCTTTCAATTTTTTTTAGTTGAAAATGACAGACAACAAGATCTCATGGGCGCTCGAGAATGGCGATTTGGATGTAGTGAAAGCGAGTGTGGTAGGTGAAAATCTTAGAATTTCCATCAGAAGTACGTGATTAAGTCAAAATCAACTTCAAAAGTATCTTGTTTATTTTAGAATGCAAAAAACGTGAACGAGGTTGTACGAAACGGGCGCACGGCTCTTCATTTAGCCTGCGATTATGGACAAACCGAAGTTGTCAAATATCTGCTCGAGCATGGCGCTGATGTGAATGTAAGAGTTTTTGAAATTTTGACTAAAGTAGATTATAAAATTGAACTGAGAAAAGTAAATAAATTCAATGTTTTAGAAGACGGATTGCCATGGAATTAGCCCGCTTCTCTATGCCGCTTGGGAGGATCATTTGGAGTTGGCGAAAGTGTTGATTTCAAAGGTGATGATTTAAAATGCTTGCTGATTTACTAAAAAAGCTACTAAGTGTCGTAGTTACGCTAAACCCAAAATTTGTAACTGTTAGTAGAAACTATTAGTAGAAAATATTAGTAGAAAATATTATTAGAAACTATTAGTAGAAACTATTAGTAGAAACTATTAGTAGAAACTATTAGTAGAAACTATTAGTAGAAACTATTAGTAGAAACTATTAGTAGAAGCTATTAGTAGAAAATATTAGTAGAAACTATTAGTAGAAACTATTAGTAGAAACTATTAGTAGAAACTATTAGTAGAAACTATTAGTAGAAGCTATTAGTAGAAGCTATTAGTAGAAGCTATTAGTAGAAGCTATTAGTAGAAGCTATTAGTAGAAACTATTAGTAGAAGCTATTAGTAGAAGCTATTAGTAGAAGCTATTAGTAGAAGCTATTAGTAAAAACGTTTTGAAAACTCATTTAAAGCAATCTTAAAACGCTTAAAGATTTTGCTCAAAAACGTTTATATATATATATACTTTATTTAGGACCTGAGATAAAGTGCGCTAGATTTAAGATTAAAACACATGAATTCATACACATAACACGAAAAGGGCCGATTAAAAGCAACACGATATAATATATGTAATATATGGGTAGCACAGATAACGTCAAGGATCCACTAGAGCTTCAAGATCAAGATCATCAAGATTTTTAAGCGGAATTCAAAAGATTTCATCGTGCGCTAAAATAGCAACAGATAATAAGAAAAGATTTAAAAATATAAATTTAATTCAATTATAATTCTAGGGAGCCAATCGAGAAGTGAATTCACCCGATGGAAAGCCGCTCATCGAGTGTGCCGCTTCAGAAAAGATGCGATCGCTTATCGCCACCTATGTCGCTTAAAAGTTTTATAGCTGATTGTGAAGCTTCTGAGAATCGTATTTTGTTTATTTAACAGCTTCATCTAGTCTTTTTATCAAAAATCTGTCATTACCAAATACTTGTAATTTTTAATTTTTAATGTAATTTGTAATTTATTATTATATTTTTATAATTTTATATCCTTTGTCCTGTGCTTTGCTAGATCTGGTACCCTTTATTCGCTTGGCTCAATCACTTTTTTAGTATTTATTTTGCAATGCTCATTTCATTCATTTGGCTTTATTCGTTGTGATCATCTTTTTCACTTTTGATGGGGTAAACTTTTGAAAAGTTAAAAGAATCAGTCAAAAGTTTATATACAAATTGAATTTCTTAACCATTTATAAGAGAAAACGGATGTTATTTATAATTTAGATGTTAGATTCGGCTGCTGAAGACGAAGCACTGCTCGATTTTTGGCCTCAATCCTCTCGTTTGACAACGGCGCTAGGGGAAAATCGAGCCGAACCACGACAGTACACTTTGCCCGGGATAAAGTAAGATAGTTTCGGCTAAATTTTTAGTAAAATCCATCTCTTACCCTTATTCCTTACTAACAATCGTTTATAAACTTTAAAAAGGTAGTTTAAATCCTGTAACTCATTCATATTTCAATGTGTTCCTTTGCTCTTACCCTACCTATTAGTTTGACCGATAAGTCTTTAGACACTTTTTTTCTACTACCATTTATAAATGACAAATTCACCAATTGATCAGAATAGAAAATGTTTATTATGCTTTTTTTCTATCTTTTTAAGAAAATTTAGATCCATTTTCAACCAAATTCGAAATTGCAAAAAATCGTTTCTTTGTAAAATTCGATAAAAAGCTCTACAAGAAATCGCAAAGAAATCGGCTGAACAAATTATCCTGAAAGTTTGGCTATATACCTAACTTTTTGCGCTCTATCTTTTATCTATTGACATCAAGATAGATTTCCTTAGCTAAAAGTGTCTAAACCACATCATCGAGTCGTAACCTGGGATCTGGACCTAAATTGCCTAAATTGCGTCTTCGGGTCGTTTAAAAAGTTTAAAATCTAATTTTTAGACAGCACAGTCACTTCGTCAGAACCCACAAAGCGTAAAAAAGACTTTCCGGCCGCAAATCGGTGAACCAAAGTGCCTAAATCGCGTCTTTGGGTGCCTTTTTTGATCACCCGACTTCGCGCTCCCATAAAAAACCATAAACAAAACATTTTCAAAAGATTGAAACGTTATTTTGTAGAAAAATAGTAGGCCTTTCTAATGGAGCAACCATAAGTCAATCTAAAATTGACATAAATTGATTATTTCTAAATAGCTTTCAAATGAAATGTCTAAAGAATTATCGACCAACCTAATAATAATTGGGGATCTTTAGAAGTAACAGTAATCCGATTCTTCTTCTGTAATCGTTTTCAATTAGATTATACTTTGATAAACTTATAAGCATAATTGAATCTTAGATATGAGTTCCAATGTGAATCGATCCCGGATCAGGCCATGTCAAATATCTCACGAATCTCGAACACCACAGAGAATCTCGTAATTCTCGAGGCTTTGAAAAATCTAATAGTGAGTTTTTGGATAAGCATTTAGTTTTTGAAGATAAGATCAAGCTTTTTGAAAGCAAATTTTCACCTTTCAGAAAGATGGCCACTTTGAAATTACGTTATGGAAGAGCTCTGAAGTGCTAACGAAGCGAGGACATGGAATGGGAACACTCGGAATATCGAGAAAGATTTCCACTTTTGTCTACAAGGTTAGGAAAGCAAGTAAATCAAAATCTATTATCTAATTTCAGTTTTGGTCGTTACGCTTTCAAATGATGTGGGCTATGAAGAAATATTTGGAGATCGCTGATGAGATTGCGCCTTTCGAAGAGTTGGACGCACCGGATCTCTTTTATGAATATGTGAAAGAAGCGGGGAGAAAAGGTTTGCTTAAAAACCCCTATTTTATTTATAAATATGCTATTTCCTGGGATTTTACCGTAATTTTAACCATTTTCAGGTTCAATGGTCCCTTTTGCGATTCGAATGATTCACGCCGAGATTCTAAGAATGACCCCATTCCCCTGGAAATCCATTGAACGAATTCAACGGTTAGAAGAAAATATTGAAAAGGTGAGAAAATTGTAAAGCCATTGGATTGGTCCGTAATTAATAATTCAAAATTGAAAAGCCATTCGATTAGTCCATAAGTCACGGCAAAGAAAGGAAAGTTCTGCCTTTAATGTTTTTCACTAAAAGAGACAACAGACTTTCTTTATTTTAAAACACTTTCATTAATTGCGCATGCTTTCTTATTTCTTTATCAACTACTTCTTTTGTTGTTCAGTTTAAATTTACCAAATGGGCATATTCAGCATGTTATGCTATTTGAGTTCGATAAATGTTCATCTTAAAGCCTAGTCCTAGAAGATAACAAAAGTATATGCTCATGACTCCCTCTCCAAGACTATCTGTCATCGATGGTTTCACAAGTTTAAAAATGGGGACAAATCTTTGAAAGACTGCTGGAAGTTGTTATTGAGAGTTATTGAATACTGGGAGTACTGAGTTACTGGATAGCAAGCAATGACCCAACTCTCAACTATACAACACTCGACTACAGAATCTGGCCAAAGCTCTCGAGTAAATAGACCAAATCTGAAAAAAGTAATATTGCAGTATAGTGCTAAACTGACTCGCTCTACAGCCCTGGACTAAGAACTTCTACCGCACCCAGCATACCGTAAATCTACTATATAATTGAGGCTGACTCTCTGTCCGTCCATCTGTCACACTCTGGATCTCGGCTCAACATGAACCGATTTTGATACAGTTTTTTTGTTAGAAAGGAAATGAAAAATTAATAGGTACATCCTTTTTGAACAAAAAAAAGTTATCATCATCTAAGGGTATTTCCTGGGCAAAATAGCCGTCAGCTCGCTCCTATAGAGGGGGGACTTCTATTAGAGTATTTACGGTATTCCCCAGATCTAGCTCCATCAGATTATCATTTATTTCGGCCAATAGAAAATTCTGTAGTTGGAGAGCACTTTGAAGATGAAAAAGATGATAAAAATGGGCACAGAACTAGTTTAACTCAAAATCGAAGATTTTTACGAGAGAGGAATTCACCTTCTACCAGTAGAATGAGCATCGGTTATTGAAAAAGATGGAAACGATTTTGATTGATTTAGATGGTTTTATTGAATAAATATTTCTGTTTGAAATTGATTCATTACGGCCAATCCAATAGATTATAACAATTTTAGACACTTTTAACCAATTTAACAGTTTTAGATTATCAACGAAATGTCTTCTGCAAGTAATACAAAAGGTTTCGAGTTGTGGAAACGACGACAACAAGCGGTGTTGACGCTAAAGTTGAGAACGCTTCATCATTTAGAGGTGGGATTTTAGAACTTGCCATAATTGCTTGAACTTGCCATAATTTTCTTACTTGCTCAAACAAATGGATAAATCTAACGAGTTTTAGGAATATGCAAACGCTGTTCAAGTGGGAAGACAAATGGTGGAAAACTCAAAATCAAACGAGGAAAAAGCTGAGATATTGAGAGGGATTGTGAGAATCGCGATGACAGTCGGAGATGAGAAAACACTCGAATCAGCCTTGTCAGAAACGGCTCCACTATCACAGAAACACCTACTTTTACACAAGTAAGATAATTCTCTACTCAACAATTAAATTTAATTGCAATTCAAATATCCTAAAGTTTCTTTTTACTTATCAAATCTTATTTAGAGCTTATCGAGCAATTTTTCATGGCAGCTTTGCTCATGCGATTGATTATCTTCAGAAAGCGGTCGATGGCGGCGATACGAGTCCACAAGTGAGTGCATATTTAAATAAAGTTCAAGAAATTTAAAACAAGACAAATTATTTGAAACTTGGAATAGAAATAATGAATCTAAAAGCTATCCCGGTCGATAAGCGTTGATTTTGACGTTTTTGTCAATGAAAACGAGTGGCGTCTTTCCTTTTGCAGTGTCTTTCTTTTCCAAACTCCACCCCAAATCATCAATCCTTTCGGAAAAAAGGATCCTCGCCCGGATTTTTCGTTTCAAAATATGTTCTCTTAATCTGGGGGTATCAGTTGATAATGGTTTTGTGGATTGGAAGCAACTTCAACAGTAAAAATTGTTTCGTTAGGCCACAAGACATCCTCAATGCGAGCCATTTTGAGTGGCGGGGAGTTAACCCATATGTACCGAATAAAGTCAAAAAAGAAAAGAAATCATCCTTGTGACAATAGCTTGATGATTCCTTTCCAACTTTGGAGTCCCCTTCTTCAACTCGCACTCCGGGCAAAGTTTAACAAAGAAATTGGAAGTAGATCCTAGAAATTGAAACAAAAAAAACAAACAAGCAAACAAACAAGCAAACAAACGAGAAAATCTAATTGACAAATTGGCTAGCCGATATGCTTTCATAGCAAATCGACTAGCAATTCTAGGTCACGCTTTTGAAATTGTCAGCAAAATAGATTTTTGATCGTTGAATGGATCAAATTGGCTGAAAAAGCAAATCGACCACGACATATAGACTTATGAGCTTTCGATTTTAAAGTTGATTATCAACATTTCATCTGCTATCGAAAGCAACGCCTAAAACAAAACTTTGCGTTTCAGGTGATCAACACGCTAGCCGTATGCCATTTATACAATGGAGCTCCATCAATTGGAGTGCAGAAGTTGTTGGAGACGCAAGGCGGTGTCTCGGAAACAATGAAAACGAATGTGATCAGCTTGAGTGAAGTCTCCTATTCGGCCAAAGACAAAGCAGCACTTTTAGCCAGAATTCATTAGCTACTTAAATTTGTTTAAATCTAAAATAATTGATCTGCTCTTGTGTTTTGTGCTTAAACACTGAAAACACTGTCATTTCTGGCTCATTCACCTTTCAGTTTTAGCCGAAAAACAGAGTTGAGTGTGCCAGAAAGGCTGCGTTTTTATTTGTTTAAAATTCAAATTCAAAAATTCATTGTTAGCAAATCATTGCCCGAGCTATTGTGTCTTCACATTTATCTATTTGCCTGCCCATTACGTACCCAGTGTTACAAGGTGTCTATATCTACAATGCTTACTTAGAAATCTATTTTGTTTTCGATATTTATTTAATTTATTTATTTATTAAATATTTATCACAAACTATAGCTACAAAACGTTTTCCTCGATACACGCCTCTTGGGGTATACATCGCCACAAAGTGTCGTACATGTAACCTAAAATAAAATTCATGACGACAATTTTGACAACAAGAGCTATTTTAGAAAAGCTAGCTATTAGGTTCGCAAGTTATAAACGATCGTTTTTTGGTAATGTGTTTTCTGAAAAAATGGCTTATCCAATCAAAAAACGATTTGCTTGATTCAAAAGCCCTATCCTTAGTCTACAAAATGGCTTTTTTGAATTTTTGAAAATTGTTTTATTTTAGAACTTTTTCAGGCATTTTAATGTAAGAGTTGAAAATCCTGGTTTCTAGCATTCATGAGCTAATATATTTTTGAGTGATTGCATACTTTTTAAAATAAAACGCTTCATCGATTACATAGTTTCCCAAAATTTCAGAAAAATCGAATCTTCGGAAGGTTGATTTTCAAATTAGACTCAAAATGCAATTTTGTGCTAATTGAATCCATTTTCGTTTGAATTTAAGGAAGATTAAAAAAAAAGATTAAAAGAAAGAGAACGGTTCGATCAATTGGATTGTTCTGAAATTTTGGGAAACTATGTAATCGATGAAGCGTTTTATTTTTAGAAAAGTCAAAGAATATGTCCTATTTACGAAGTCGAAGCTTCAAAAAATCGGGTCAAACCAGCCAAGACAGACCAAGCCAAGAGAGGCACTGTCTTCTCATTTTAGGATGACCAGACCTGAAGCTGGGCCAAGTTAAGCTGTATTTTGTTCATTTATAACATTTTAGTCGTCTATTACGCCACAGACTAGGTCCGGACCAGTGGCCTAACCTGGTTTACTTGGCCTTCTGGACACCTTTTGTACATCTTTGCTATCGTTGGTGGGGATGAAATCTCGCTATTTTTCCGATTGATCCATAAACTCGTAAATAAAACGAAAGTGGGGGGTTTTTTTGTGAAACTGATAACGTCAAGAACACTTTTCCGAAAACAATGAAAACGAGCTTCCTCACTTTCAATTATTTCGAAATTTTGGCAACTTTTGCTGTAGCCATTGACATTTGCGATGATCTTCCAAATCCCACCTGGACATCTGCCACACGCTATGTTATACAAATTTCTACAAGGACATAAGGACTACCAGTGTTCAGCTAATATTAAAAATGTTGATGTGGAAGGATCAGCTCCAATAAGGACATGTGCAGACTGGTTTGCTAAATTCCATTCTGGGGATATCCTCGAAGACAAAGGTCATCCAGCAGTTCAGCTGGATAATGCCAAGTTGCTCGAAATTTTTCAAAACAACAACAAGCTTTCTTCTAAGTTAGTAGTTGATCATACAATAATACTCGAAAGTTGCATACACTTGGGTTTAAATCGAAAATAGAGACCTGGATTCCACACGATTGAACGGACACCCAGAAATGGCAACGCGTCAGAAAGCAGCGCCGCTCATCTTTCTCAATTCAAGCGCAAATCGTTTTTACTCCGTACACGAGAGGAAAATGGATTTCTAGCTGTCAACATTCGGTGAAAGCGTCAATTGGTTACTGAGGGGAGAAGCCCGAACTCGACGTCCAACCAAATGTGCATGAGAAGTTTATGCTCTCGGTGCTCTGGGATTTGGAAGAGCCTATCTACTAGGAACTTTTGGATAGCAAGACAACAAGTGCATGAGAAGAAGCTTATGCTCTCGGCGTTCTGGGATTTGGAAGAGCCTATCTACTAGGAACTTTTGGATAGCAAGACAACAAGTGCATGAGAAGAAGCTTATGCTCTCGGCGTTCTGGGATTTGGAAGAGCCTATCTACTAGGAACTTTTGGATAGCAAGACAACAAGTGCATGAGAAGAAGCTTATGCTCTCGGTGCTCTGGGATTTGGAACTTTTCTACTTATCTACTGGAAACTTTTGGATAGCAAGACAACACTCAACGAAATCAAATACTCCGAGCAACTTAAAAAGTCAGCCAGACAAAAGAGAAAAGACTTTGCCAGAAAAATCAGTGCCGCTCATCTTTCTCGATACGAGCGCAAATCTTTTTTATCCCGTATTGTGACGGGGATGAAAATGGATTCTAATTGTCAACTTTCGGAGAAGGCGGCAATGGGTTGCTGAGGGGGAAAAGCCTAAACCCGACGTCAAGCCAAATGTGCATGAGAAGAAGTTTATGCTCTCGGTGTTCTGGGATTTTGAAGAGTCTATCTATTGAGAACTTTTCGATAGCAAAACAACGTTCAACTTAATCAAATACTCGGAGCAACTTAAAAAGTCAGCCAAATCTTTGCCAGAGAAAAGCTCACAAAGAGAAAAATCATTCTTTAACATGATAATGCTAGACCGCATGTTTCAAAGATGCCTCGTCCTACACTAAACTCTCTTGGATGAAAGGTGATGGCCCATTTGGCATACAGCTCTGGCCATGCACCTTCTGATTACTTTTTCCGGGCGATGAGCAATGATTTGACAAACAAACACTTTGATTCCGAAGAAGAGGTCAAAAAGTGGCTGACAGATTGGTTTGTGTCAAAACTGAAGATTTTCTACGAGAAAAGCATTTGATTTCTATCAGTAAAATGGGCTTAAGTCATTCAAGATAATGAAGAATATTTAGAAAGATTGCATGTCAAATATTGAACAAATCAATTGTTGATTTTTAGCGACATTTCATACCCACCAATTTCAATATTTCGGTCCGAGATGAAAGCAACGTATTTTCATATAAAACTTTCTGAAAACCGACCATCTTTACACGTGCACCCGGTGTAGCAAGCGGTATTACATGGTTCCGCATGGAAATCACAGTGTTTACACTTCGGGTCCAGTCCACAATCCCTCCACACCTCGTTGGCATTTGGGCATCTTTGCTCTAATTGATCGTCTGGAAAAAGTCTGATAGAAGAAGACTGATAGAACTGATAGACAAAAGGAACTGATAGACAAAAGGGACTGATAGAATGGAAATAATAAGTAAAATCACGTTATCTTCGTGCAACAAAAGTTTAGTTTTTGCTTTAAAATTGCTTTTTTAGATTAGATTTTAGATTTTAGACTTTTTTAGACACAGAAATAGATTTAAAAGGTTTACCTGTAGCTTGTGGAGAATCTCTTCTGCTCGCAAAAACAATAGCTGACAAGAATAACAAATGGATTAGGCTAGAAGTGTGCATCAATTATCAAATAGGGAATAAGTTTTAAGAATTGGCTTTGTAAAGAATTGGCTTTGCAAAGAATTGGCTTTGTAAAGTGGCTTTGTAAAGAATTGGCTTTGTAAAGAATTGGCTTTGTAAAGTTGGCTTTGTAAAGTGGCTTTGCAAAGAATCGCTTTGTAAAGAATTGGCTTCTTCAGTTGAAAACCTTTTGAATATCGCTGAATTCAAGGATTGATCTGGATTGGACTGGATTGGACTCTGTTTTGGCCCCACAAAACACCTTTAAATCCGAATGACCACAAAAAAGTCAACGTGTAACAAGGCGAATAAATAATTTTTTCAAAATCTCTGCGGTTTGGAAATCGAAATGAAATTGAAAATTGCAGAGAAACGAGAGAAATCCGAAAAAAAGAGCAGAGAGAAAGCTGGGGGAAAAAAGTCGCACAAAGCCAATTGAAAATTTGCCTTTTGTGCGCTGATCACTGAAATTTTTCAATACTAGGTCACGTTTTTGTCAGCAAAACAGCTTTTTGATTGTTGAGTGGATCAAATTTTCGTCATGAATTCGTCAGCTCTGATCGGTTGGATTTACCAGTCGTTAACGGCCTTTCAAAAGAACATTGCTAGCAATTCGCTAGCAATTCCCTAGCAATTCGCTAGCAAACTTTTCCAACTCAAGTAAGTGAAACTTTAAAGAGTGACTCGGTGATTGTACTAGATTTTACTAAACACAGTAACCTACAGAATTATAATTTAAACTGGGATACGGTAGCTGAAGCATGCTTAAGAGCTTCTCAATTAGGATGCTTAAGAGCTTCTCGATCAGGATGCTTAAGAGCTTCTCAGGATGCTTAAGAGCTCTCAATCAGGATGCTTAAGAGCTTCTCAATTAGGATGCTTAAGAGCTTCTCAATCAGGATGCTTAAGAGCTTCTCGATCAGGATGCTTAAGAGCTTCTCAATTAGGATGCTTAAGAGCTTCTCAATTAGGATGCTTAAGAGCTTCTCGACAGGATGCTAAGAGCTTCTCAACAGGATGCTTAAGAGCTTCCGATCAGGATGCTAAGAGCTTCTCAATTAGGATGCTAAGAGCTTCTCAACAGGATCTAAGAGCTTCTCAATTAGGATGCTAAGAGCTTCTCAATCAGGATGCTAAGAGCTTCTCGACAGGATGCAAGAGCTTCCAATAGGATGCTAAGAGCTTCCAATTAGGAGCTAAGAGCTTCTCGATCAGGATGCTTAAGAGCTTCTCAATCAGGATGCTTAAGAGCTTCTCGATCAGGATGCTTAAGAGCTTCTCAATTAGGATGCTTAAGAGCTTCTCAATCGCTACAAAAGCGAAAGAATAGGTGAACTATCATTTCGCTTTGCAACTTAAAACCACTCCTGGTTTTGACTCAGCTACCATATCCAGCTAGTAGATTTTACAATACCATAATAACCTATGAAATTGCAGCTTAAGTCAACTTACCGTAGCTAGAACATACTTTAGAGTTACTGTTCGGATAGGTTTCCTTAGCTAAAGTGTCTAAACCACATCATCGAACCGTCGCCCTTTCTGACTACCCGACTTCATGCTCCCAAAAAAATTCGGTACTTGTCGGTTATACATCCACAAAGACTCATCTCGTGAAGCATCCCCATTCGAGTCTTCTCGGTTATCGATTTTCGTTCGACTGATCGACTGATCACTTCAGACGAGCACTCTACTTCACTGAACATAATCACCCCTCACAAGTTGCCAGCTTCTTGCTTATTGAGTTGAGTCTCTGTGGAGGTATAATCTACAAGTACCCGAGTATCGTTACCGTTTCTCTTCAAACAGTGCTAAGATAGCGCCTCGAAAGGTAGCGCCTCGAAAGGTAGCGCCTCGAAAGGTAGCGCCTCGAAAGGTAGCGCCTCGAAAGGTAGCGCCTCGAAAGGTAGCGCCTCGAAGGTAGCGCCTCGAAGGTAGCGCCTCGAAGGTAGCGCCTCGAAGGTAGCGCCTCGAAGGTAGCGCCTCGAAAGGTAGCGCCCTCGAAAGGTAGCGCCTCGAAAGGTAGCGCCTCGAAAGGTAGCGCCTCGAAAGGTAGCGCCTCGAAAGGTAGCGCCTCGAAAGGTAGCGCCTCGAAAGGTAGCGCCTCGAAAGGTAGCGCCTCGAAAGGTAGCGCCTCGAAAGGTAGCGCCTCGAAAGGTAGCGCCTCGAAAGGTAGCGCCTCGAAAGGTAGCGCCTCGAAAGGTAGCGCCTCGAAAGGTAGCGCCTCGAAAGGTAGTGCCTCGAAAGGTAGCACCATATATGTCGTAGCCGATAGCTCTTTCAATCGATTTGCTATGAAATCAGATCGGCTTTGCTTTGATAGATTTTCGCTAGCCGAAAAGTACGAAAAGGAACGAAAAGACTTTCTGGAAAGCTTAATAGATTCAAACTTGAAAATAAAGCTTTCAATTGGAAAATGAAAGTAGTGTTCCTGCAAAATTTAGTCAATCCAGCTCTAAATGAAAAGCTCTATTTTCGTTCTTATCAATCAAAAGATCAGAAAAAAAGTGGATACCTTTCCAAGAACATCGAAGATTATCGACCACTTTCCCCTATTTGTCAGCTGATTCGAAAGCTGATTCAAAAGTTGATTTTCTCTTTGCCTAATTTTCGAAACGATTTCTTTTTCCGGTGTGGATGGATGGCTATAAACGTTTTTTGTTTGGGCAGACACGTCACACACATCGAGAGGACTCATTTTGAACGGACGTTTGGATGTTTGGATGGTTGGAAATGGAATAACAAGGATGATGATTGGATTGTAAATATTTCAAAACATGTAAACCTTTTTGCAGACATATTCTTGTACGTTTTAAGCGTGAAAACAAGAGTTTAAGTCTTTCTTCAGATTTCTTCAAATGTGGACAAATGATTTGAAAAAACTGCCGTCATTTGTCCGTCACTTCGAACAAAAGTCTTGGCTCTTGTCCGTTATTTTTGTCTTGAGCTTTAACTCATTCATTTGCAATTTTTGTTCATCTTTCAATAATCTCTTTAAACTTTGCATCAATCCTTTTGATAATCTTTTATCCTATTGAAAATCCAAAAAAAAATCATTCATAAAACCTGTGGATTGGCAAGAGGCAAATGAAAAGAAAATGAATATGCAAATTTTACGGATTCAAATTGATTAGTATCCATTTTGGGGGTGGGACAAATGCGACCTTTTTTTGCGCACCTGAACATTTGCGCACCTTTTTTTTGCTGGAAAAGGCCTTAGGAAAGGTCGTAGATCTTCGGAAATGTTTTCATACAAGGGAATCGTATGCATAGATTCAGAATTTCGACAAATCAGACTTCGCTGACACGTCAAATTTGGGCTAAGAGGCAAAAACTGCGAAAAAGTGTTAAGTTGCGTAGTTTTTGCCTTTTAGCCCAAATTTGACGTGTCAGCGAGGTCTGATTTGTCGAAATTCGGAATCTACGCATACGATTCCCTTCTATGAAAACGTTTTTGAAGCTCTACGACCTTTCCTAAGGCCTTTTCCAGCAAAAAAAAAGGTGCGCAAATGTCCAGGTGCGCAAAAAAAGGTCGCATTTGTCCCACCCCCTCCATTTTCTCTCAAAAAAAGAAAAGAAACGAATAAAAGAGTAGAAATCGAGAAGAGATATGGCACGGGAAAAGAACAAAAAATCAAAAAATCAAAAAATACAATTTTATATCAAATTTTTCTATAAAATGAAAGACGTTTCTCGTTTGTTTTCAGCAAAAATACCATAGATTCACTAAAAAAAGGGCAGAATTTGCATTTCGAGAAGAGAAAAAAAACAACTGAGCGACAACGAGATCACAAAAAAAGAGAAAACATTTGAAAAGAGTTTATTTAGTGGAATAGCTACCGTATTTGCAATGTTGTTTGTGGATTGGTTTCTGTTTTTGAGCTCAACTTTAAGATAAGCTTGAATAGTTTGAAGGAAAATTGCTGGGATTTGTCAAGAAAGTTAAGCACAGCTAAGCTAAGCAACATACAGCTCTAGAGGCTTTTATTACCCTTGACTTTCACGTAGTTCTAGATTAGAGAATCTACTAGATAAAAGAGCTGAGTCTGTCTGTCTGTCTGGCTGGCTGGCTGGCTGGCTGGCTGTTTGTCTGTCTGTCTGTCTGACTGGCTGTTTGTTTGTCTGTCTGTCTATCTATCTGTCTATCCATCTGTCTGTCTGTCTGTCCGTCGTTTTGGACCTCGGAATTGCTCCCGAACGACTTGAAGTTTGATTGCTCCCGAAATCTAACTTCAAGTGGTTCCCTGGTAAGTTAGCCCACTAAATGACTGAGCTAAACAGTGACTAAACAGTCCTCAGTGACAATACAGTCGGTTAGATGCTGCCGCTTTCTTACGCAAAGCTTTTCAGCCTTCAATTACCTAACTTTTCAAAGCCGAAGTCAAAGCCTAAGCCTAAGCCTAAGCCTGAGCCTAAGCCTAAGCCTGAGCCTAAGCCTAAGCCTAAGCCGAAGCCTAAGCCTAAGCCTAAGCCTGAGCCTGAGCCTAAGCCTGAGCCTGAGCCTGAGCCTGAGCCTAAGCCTGAGCCTAAGCCTGAGCCTGAGCCTAAGCCGAAGTCAAAACCAAAGACAGTCAATCCCACTAATTTAGTCGAAAAGGTGAAACCAAACCACAAACAGTTAAACATTTAAATTTTTTTTTGCCAATTGATAGCCTGACACTACAAATAAGCCGGTTGATCTGGGCGAAGGGCGGCCACTCGTCGAATGTACTCGGCCTCGCGGAAGAAATCGCTTTGAAATGAATTGTGTCGAATTGTTGACATACCTGAATATCATTTTTGTTGTTTAGATTGAATAGGAAAGAGACTTGGATTGTTTGAAAGACTTGGATCGAAAGTGAGCGGAGAAACGATTAATTTAAGTTTTCAACTCAAAAATCATCTAATCCAAGTCCCCTTTTTTCATCTAAAGATTCAAAATCTTTTTCTACTGAGTGCTACTTTCAAAACTTCTACGCAAATCATCCCAGTGCTTTGAGAGAAAAAGCTAATCGAAAATTAGCAATGGTAAAGAATTAGAAAAGTAAAAAGAAGTAAAAAAACATGCAAACAGTGGGAATTGAAAGGGGAAAAGGTCAAAAAAGAGAGTTGTTGAAGGACAGATTCGGGGAAAAGGAAATCCTTGTCCGAATTATAAATTTCCAATGATAGAAACCTGATATCGATAAACCTGATATCGATGAATGTTATAAACTATTTGAAAGGTGTAAATCTCCTCTACGAAATAGGCTAAAACGTGTTTCAATTGATCGAACCATTGAAGCAAATTTCGAGGGCGAAATGCGAGTGACCAAAAAAGGAATCGAGTCACTTTAGGGACCAAAAAAGGGCACTTTTTGAAAACCCCACTTTCATGAGAGTTCGCTTTTGTCTATATAGTGGAAAATGAGCGCCCTTCATTCAAAATCATTCAAATATCATTCAAAATAATTAAGAGTTCGGATCATTTCATGGGAAAACTTTCTTTTTAAAATAATTTTTCTTTTTTGTGAAAAAGCCGGTTTTTTTTTTGACAATTTTGAGGGTTTTGAACTTACGCTCTAGATAAATTTCTGTAAATGCATTTCCGTCAGACTTTTTTTTAATGAATTGGTATATAGTTATCCTTTTTTTAAAATTTTCAATGATTTCAACATGCATATTGTATCTCTTATTCAAAAAGCTTCAAGTCAAAGACTCAAAATGTTAATCCAAAGCCCATCATCCCTTCAACAACTCTAATTTTATCGAAAAAAAACTGCAAAAGAGCGTAGGGGTAAAGAAAAAAAAACAAGGCGAAAAAGCGCCTTTCTCTTTTTTTTTCGGATTCAAATTCAAATCCAGATCCAAATCCAAATTCAAATTCGAATCCAAATTCAAATCCAAATCCAAATCCAGATCCAAATCCAAATCCAGATCCAAATCCAAATCCAGATCCAAATCCAAATCCAAATTCAAATCCAAATCCAGATCCAGATCCAAATCCAGATCCAAATCCAAATCCAAATCCAAATCCAAATCCAGATCCAAATCCAAATCCAGATCCAAATCCAAATCCAAATCCAAATCCAAATCCAGATCCAAATCCAAATCCAAATTCAAATCCAGATCCAGATCCAAATTCAAATCCAAATCCAGATCCAGATCCAAATCCAAATCCAAATCCAAATCCAAATCCAGCTTCAAATCCAGATCCAAATCCAAATCCAAATCCAAATTCAAATCCAAATCCGAATCCAAATCCAAATCCAAAGCCAAATCCAAATCCAAATTTCGATTTTCTCACCACTTCAATAACTTTCCCTTCTCGTGTTCACCATGACGGCTGCTAGCGGAACACAAAACCTATTATTCGAATCGAAAATCATTCAAATCAAACATAAAAATAACTTAACAACTGAATTTTTTCAATGAAATTAAAAAGAAAAATAGAGAACTTATTGGAAGTGAAAAGGAAAAGCTTGAAAATGTTATTTAGAAATTGATTAAACTTTAGAAAACTTTGGAAACTTTAAAAACATTAACAACTTTAGAAAATACTTCATATTAGCGGACACCGCCAAATCGAGTCATCGTTTTCTGCAGAAAAGTCAAGAATATTATCGATTTTGATGTTTTAAAAAGGTTTTACCGCCGTTTTACTACCTGAACTCGTCTCGTCGATGAAACGGAGTTTCATCAGAAGCTCGTGCGGCTCGAATGGCCGATCGCGGAGCTCGTTGTCGAGAAACTCGCGAACATCGTTCCAGGTGACCTAAAAGGTGAATTATTAAATTTATTAATGTTAAACATTCAAAATACAATTCTTTAACATGTCAAAAGATCACTTTCTCGAAAATTTTATGTTTTTGTTGCTTAATATTCGATAAATATTTACTTTACGCCACTTCTGTTGACTCTTCTATTAAGCAAACTTTCTTTCTTCCTTTCTCCTTCTCTTCTGTCCTTCTTCCTTTCTCTTGGCAAGTTAGGGTACCGAATAGCTCAGTGGTTAGAGAAATTGCCCGAAAAGCAAAAGGTCGAGGGCTCAATCCCCTCTCCCCTCCATCCCCTCTCCTATATCATTCAAAGTAGAATTTTATGCTGATCTCGAATATACGTTCCGTTTTTGCTAACTGACAATCTGCCAGGAGTTATAAGCGTCTAAAGTTTTGTTAAGACTCTGAAAATGTGGTCATTTGGGTCTTCCAGGCCGGAGACCCAAATAACCACATTTTCAGAGTCCAAAACTTTAGACGCTTATAACTTCTGGCAGATTGTTATTTAGCAAAAACGGAATATATATTCGGGATCAGCATAAAATTCTACGTTGAATGGTACAGGTCGCATAGCATTTGGCTCAGCCAGTGAATAAGCCAGTGTTGATTTTGTGTTAAACAGTGCTTTTTAGAGGATTTGACTGCATTTGACTGGCGAATGGCCGGCATTTGTCTAGAAAAATTTGATTTGCTGAAAGAAAGAACTCGTCGAATCCTTGCGCTTTTTAGGATTAATATTTCTCTTCAACTATAGTCAGAATAGAAAGAGTCAACTATAGTCAATGAAGCTAGAATTGACCCTTTTTTGAATTGACCTTAGAATTGACCCTTTTTCTCTTACCTTTCCACCCTTTTTCCTTCTCATCGCTCCAAGCAGTGCAACAATCTCTTTCAACTCTTCACTCATCCCCAAGAAACGCTTAGCTCGACCAAAGTAGTGAATTCTCGTGAAATAGGCTTTAAGATGTGTTGAAGCCAAATCGACGCACATCGTCACGACTGATAGACCTAAGAAAAAACCATTTTTTTCATTTTTTTACTATAACTTTACGAACCGACTATAACAAAAGCGACGATAAGCGACAGAAAGATGTAATCCTTGACCACAATGTCACCAAGGCCGACCGTCACGATCAAATTGAAACCGAAGTGAAACGCGTGAATGAAAGACCTGAAGAGAAAAGAAGTTTAAAACTAGATGATCTAGATCGTAGCATCGAATGAATCGAACCATGAACTAGATCGTAGCATTTGCTGTTGTTAAGCAAAATGTTAAGCATTTGTTTTTATGCAAAATGTTAAGCTTAGAAATTCGCTCACCAATTCCTCTCCCAGTTGATAAACATAGCAGAACCCATTGAGCAATAGAGACAAATACACGCCACGTAGGCACCTAAAGAATAGTGGGGTTTTGTCGTGAATCTATTTCGATTCAAATGCAGTTTTTGCCTTGACTTTGTGCCTTGACTTTGTGCCTTGGCTTTGTGCCCTGGCTTTATGCCTTGACTTTGTGCCTTGACTGTGTGCCTTGGCTTTATGCCTTGACTTTGTGCCCTGGCTTTGTGCCTTGGCTTTGTGCCCTGGCTTTGTGCCTTGACTTTGTGCCTTGGCTTTGTGCCCTGGCTTTATGCCTTGACTTTGTGCCTTGACTTTGTGCCTTGACTGTGTGCCTTGGCTTTATGCCTTGACTTTGTGCCCTGGCTTTGTGCCTTGGCTTTGTGCCCTGGCTTTATGCCTTGACTTTGTGCCTTGACTTTGTGCCTTGACTGTGTGCCTTGGCTTTATGCCTTGACTTTGTGCCCTGGCTTTGTGCCTTGGCTTTGTGCCCTGGCTTTGTGCCTTGGCTTTGTGCCCTGGCTTTGTGCCTTGACTTTGTGCCTTGGCTTTGTGCCCTGGCTTTATGCCTTGACTTTGTGCCTTGACTTTGTGCCTTGACTGTGTGCCTTGGCTTTATGCCTTGACTTTATGTCTTGACTTTGTGCCTCTTAAATAATCTTTAAAATATCAAAAATGAATTGTTATTTTCTGAAAAAATCTTCTCCAGATTGATATTTCCAATTTGCAAAACTTCTATGGAAATATGATGTTGATCAGGTCAAAAAAAAAGTGGAGCTGAGTCTGACTGACTTCCAGGCTTACAGGATTCACAGGATTGACTTAACCTATCTTATTAGGTTGGCCGGAAAGTTCTTTCCGTTTTTTGACGCCAGATCTAACTTTTTATTTTACGCATCAAAAAGGCCAAATAAAAAAAACGGAATTTATCTACTCGAAATATTCACCGTCAACATCAATAACATCCTGCCACTTATCCGGCAACAAATAGATTCCGCGGCGGTAAAACTCACGTGGCTTCGAATCAAAAAAAAATGAGTGAGTGACAAGCGCACCAGCGGACTATCATCTGTTCAGGTATTTTGTCCAGAATCGTCCGATTATCATTTTTTTAGGTCTCTGGAGCATCATGTGGAAAGATCATCATGTGGAAAGATGCGTGGAAAGATCTTTCAAAACGTCGAGGAAATGCGCTTGTCACTCACTCAGTTTTTCGATTCGAAGCCACGTGAGTTTTACCGCCGCGGAATCTATTTGTTGCCGGATAAGTGGCAGGATGTTATTGATGTTGACGGTGAATATTTCGAGTAGATAAATTCCGTTTTTTTATTTGGCGTTTTTGATGCGTAAAATAAAAAGTTAGATCTGGCGTCAAAAAAACGGAAAGAACTTTCCGGCCAACCTAATAGGTTTCAAGATCTTTTCAAGATTCAAGAAGATTCAAGAAGACAAGAACAAGATCAAGATCGCTCTCTTAGATTAAAGCCAGGCTTACAAGCAACCAATTGGAGCTCGACGTGGAATTTCGATATGCGGCATAGCACATCTTGTAGAGCTTGGAAAGACGAGTCGAATAATGGAAAAATTAGTTCCTATTAGCATTGTAAACACACTAAAACTGACATAGAAGTTTTTGATATATAGTCTTAAGGCCTTTTTCGAAAGCTGCCTCGGCGGTCTAGTGGTTAGTGCAATGGTTTGCCAAGCAAACCATCGGGGGTCCAATTCCTTTCTCTTCTCCTCTCCTCTTTCCAAGCTCTACAAGATGTTCTATACTAAATTTCGAGATTCCACCGCGAGCTCCAATTGGTTCCTTGTTAGTCTGGCCAACGGAAAGCTCGGCTACCCAGAAGCTAGACTGGTCCTGGCTTACAAGCAAAAGTCAACTGAATGTGCTGGCTAAATCACATCCAGCCATAAATCATTCGACGCAGAATTTCACGCTGATTCAGAATCTGCTTTCCGTTTCTGTTATACAGCACTCTGTCAAAAGTTATACGCGTTTAAAGTTTTGTAAGAAGTTTTGTAAGAAGTTTTGTAAGAAGTTTTGTAAGAAGTTTTGTAAGAAGTTTTGTAAGAAGTTTGTAAGAAGTAAGAAGTAAGAAGAAAACAAACCGCGACATTTCAACCCTGTCTTCCGTGAGCTCAGGCGGTGGCCGAGCGCTAGTGAGCTGGGACACAGAGTGGGGCTCTCTGGTTCGAATCCGGTAGCTGATTGTCTTTTTTGGGATCCTTATTCGTATTAGTGGTATGCCAGATGCTATGCGATTGTGATCGGCCATAGAGAACACACAAAACATTAAAACCACAAGGCAACAAAACTTTAAACGCGTAAAACTTTTGACATAGTGCTCTTGAGCAGAAACGGAAAGCAGATTTGGATTCAGCGTGAAATTCTGCGTCAAATGGTCTATGTTTCATGTGATTTAACCCATCCAGTTGACTTTCCCCTGTTAGAATCAGTCTAGCCTGACTCACAGAAAACTTTACCAACTTTACTTTACTTCTTATCACGATCAAGCTCAGTGTGAAGCCTCCTTTGTCTGGTTTAGATCTTGATCTGAAAACCCTTTGCTCAAAACTAACCAATCGGGAACCACAGCTTCTCCTCTGTGCCATCCATTCCCAAAATCTCCATCGTGTCCGTGTTTCCATTCGACGAGTGAACCGATTTTCGTCGAGTATATCGATTTCGGCACAAGAATTGCTAAAAGACAAGATTTTACGAGAAAAATGAGCAATTTTCGAGCAACTGGACATTTCGATTCTTTTTATTTACAAGAAATCATTCTTCGACATTTTCCAATTCAGCTTATATAAAGGTTTTACGAAAATTCCCGTAATAGGCTCGTATATATAAAGATCTAAGGCGACGCCTTATATACGATCGCCGTCTTATATACAATCGCCGTCTTATATACGATCGCCGTCTTATATACAATCGCCGTCTTATATACGATCGCCGACTTATATACGATCGCCGTCTTATATACGAGCCCCGTCTTATATACGAGCCCCGTCTTATATACAAGCGCGGTCTTATATACGATCACCGTCTTATATACGATCGCCGTCTTATATACGAGCCCCGTCTTATATACAAGCGCCGTCTTATATACGATCGCCGTCTTATATACGATCGCCGTCTTATATACGAGCCCCGTCTTATATACGAGCCCCGTCTTATATACAAGCGCGGTCTTATATACGATCACCGTCTTATATACGATCGCCGTCTTATATACGAGCCCCGTCTTATATACAAGCGCCGTCTTATATACGATCGCCGTCTTATATACGATCGCCGTCTTATATACGAGTGCCGCCTCCCGTAAAACCGTTATATACAGAGTTATCAGATAACATTTTCAACATGCAGGTCAGACAAAGAGAGCTGAGCAGCTATGAAATGTTTTTTTAGGTATCTTGCTTACCTCCACTGGCTCCATTATTGTCTGGAGTTGGTTTGATAAAGATAAAAGTCTAAACCTGGCTTACCTTGATCTTTTTTGTCATTTTGTTCCAATTCGCTACAAATTTCAATAACGTTTCCGAGAGGAATTTCCCGATATCCGCTGCAGTGATGAACATCAACGGGATACCGACAAGAGCGAACACAACGGCGAACACTTTGCCCACATCTGTGTCGACCGAGACTTCTCCGTAGCCTAAAATCAAATCGCTAAGCACACAGTACTTGAGGCGTACAGCAGCGTAGTCGACAACTATTTTGCTGATAATTTGATGAAAATTCAAAATTAAACGAAACTATTATAGTCATTCGATAGCGCTGAATCTCCTCTTGTAAACTATTGGGTTGATGAATTGAAAACTGCCGGCTATTGTCATATGTGACAGTTTGAGCACTTTCTTCAAAAGAAACCCATTTTGGTGTCAATGGAAAAGTTGTAGAGAATCGAAAATCAAGCTTATATCCAAATTTTCACAATGATTCAAAAACTGGTTTTCAAGAAATGCGAAATTTACGAATTTTCACAAAACTTGCATTTTAAGCGAAACTACTAAGTGTATCTTTTTGGAAATTTGGATATAAGCTTGATTTTTGATTCTCTACAACTTTTCCATTGACACCAAAATGGGTTTCTTTTGAAGAAAGTGCTCAAACTGTCACATATGACAATAGCCGGCAGTTTTTAATTCACCAACCCAATACAGCCATGGACAAAAGTCTTTACCCCTACCGAGGTCAGCTTTTAAAACGCAAAATTTTTCAACTTTTTAACAAGTTTTAAAAATTGTTTTCAAAGTATTTTGTAGCATTTTTACTCTAGTTTTTATATCCCATAACCAAAAGAAACAACGATTTATTTTAGGCAACAAAGAACGACGTTAACAAAAAAAACCCTCAAAACAGGTGGACAAAAGTCTTTACCCCTCGAACAAAAAGTGAGAAAAAACCGAGTATTTTAATATTTGGTAGGGCCCCCTTTTGATGAAATTATTGCTTGAATCCTTCTCGGCATCGAGTCGACCAAATCCTGTAAAATTTGAGGACCGATCTTTGTCCGGACGTGTCGAATGAAGTACCATAGCTCAATCTTGGTATTGAAGCGTTTTCCCTTCAATTTCAGCTTCAAAAACGCCCACAAATGTTCGATAACGTTCAAATCCGGACTGTAGGGAAGAGCAGATACGAGCTGAACTCCATTCGATCGGAACCATCCGGGTAGACGAGCTCTACCACCGTTGGCAAGGCGAACAACTCGTCCCATTAGCAGTTGCGACTTGTGGCATGGAGCGTTGTCCTGGTACAGCAACCATCCTTGTCCATCCTTGTCCAATTTTTGTGGTCGCAAATGGAAGAAGATCGTTCTCCAAAATCGCCTTGTATCGTTGAGCGTCCAAAGTTGAATTGAGAAGAACGAGCGGACCTGGTGAACTTCTAGTCATCGCTCCTGAAAAAAAAAGTCAATAGGCATAAAGATAAAAGTTTCTTGCCCCACAACATGATTGATCCGCCACCAAATTTGACTGTCGCACGAAGGTATTTGATGCTATATCGTTGTCTGACAGGTCTCCGAATCAAGTGATTGCCGTCGGGATTGAAAAGGTTGATCTTCGATTCATCGGTGAAGATGACATTGGCCCAGTCGTTGCTTGTCCAACTTTCATACTTCTCGGCAAAGTCGAGTCGAATCTTCCGGTGTTTGGCGACCATCAGGGGCTTCTTTGCAGGTCTTCTAGTCATCAATCCTGCACGAATCAAACGTCTGCTTACTGTCTTTCGATTGATGTCCTTGTTAAATTGATGCTTGATTAATCTGACTCCATCGGAAGCATTAAGATTTGGATCCTTTTTGTGGGCCAAAATTAGAACCTTGTCTTCTCTTGGTGTTGTGACGGGTGAACGACCTGTTTTCAATGCTCGGTGAAGAATTTCAGTCGTTTTCTCTTTCTTGCAAAGCTTTTTCACCGTTTCGGGGCTGCATTTGAATACGCTCGCAACATCCTTTACTTTGTCGCCTCGTTTCCTTGCTTCCATAATCTTTTCTTTGTCGGGAGTGGTCAGATAGGCTCCAGGCATCACTAGAATTAAAAAATAATAAAGCATTGTTATGTGAAAAATAACGAAACAACAGCAAGAAAATAAAAAGTTGAAAAGGGGTAAAGACTTTTGTCCACCTGTTTTGAGGGTTTTTTTTGTTAACATCGTTCTTTGTTGCCTAAAATAAATCGTTGTTTCTTTTGGTTATGGGATATAAAAACTAGAGTAAAAATGCTACAAAATACTTTGAAAACAATTTTTAAAACTTGTTAAAAAGTTGAAAAATTTTGCGTTTTAAAAGCTGACCTCGGTAGGGGTAAAGACTTTTGTCCATGACTGTATTTATGGGGATAAGTCAGTTAGACAAATGAAAATGACCTTTAGATAGACTAAACTTTCGATGAGAAATACATTTTATTAAATTTACTTTTAATTTGCATTCCAATTAGATTAATAACTAATCCAATCCGGCTCCAATCCGGCTCCAATCCGAATTATCCACAACTTTGAACGCCCAAAGCTTTTATCTTGATCAGATGATCCAGATTTTTCAACAGCTGGCTAGAGACAAAAGGAAAAACTCAAGATCGCGCATTGCATGTTTAGTCTTTGAACTTTGAAACTTTAATCCAATCTACTTACCGCAAGTTGTGAGCACTGTCAATACGTAGAGTAACGCTGTCGGAAATGTCCATTTGTTGTGCAAATTGGTGAGATCGATTGGATCATTCATCTCTTTTCGAATTGGTCGACGATCATCAACCACTTCAGAAACGGATAACATGTACTCTCTAAAAAGCGTAATACTTCTGGAACTCATCCCGAACTCGTTACGGGAGGAGTTCGGGATGAATTCTGATGAATTCTGATGAATTCGTGATGAATTCTGATGAATTCTGATGAGTTTTTCTTGCGAAACTCCTTGGTTTGAGAATTTAAACTGTAAGGTTTAACTCTCTTTTGTTTTGAGATTAAGTTCTTTGATCACTTTGATTTTTGATCATCCTTGAAGAATCAATGATCACTTTTTAGTTGATTATTAGAGTACCAGCTGTGCCGGGCGTCCGCTATGCAGCCGCACGGATATTCTACCTTATACCGGGCACGTAGCACAAATCTGATTGCAGATTCGGATTCCTCACCCCCGAAAACCCTTGAGTACAAATTTTCAGCTTTCTAGCTCACTTCGTTGTAATTTTAAGTTGACATAATTTGTATTGTCGCGTAGGCGTGACGGACGGACAAACAGACAGACAGATGGACGTTTTTTTTATATAGTAGATAAATTAACCAGTCGGAAAATCCGCCTTACGCTTAAAAGCAGGCTTTTCTAGTTGGATGTTTTGGGGCTGATGCAGCTGCAGAGGCTTAGCCGGGTGCCCACCGGCTTAGCCAGCCAGGTGCCCAGGCACAGCCAGCCAGGTGCCCAGGCGCAGACAGCCAGGTGCCCAGGCGTAGCCGGCCAGGTGCCAACCGGCGTAGCCAGCCAGGTGCCCAGGCGTAGCCAGCCAGGAGGTTCGGAGTTGGGGGCTGGGATTAGTGGGGGGCGGAGGGGTTGCAATGGCCCCCCACCTCCCGAAAAAAATTCCTGGCTATGCCTCTGTGCAGCCGTTGCTTTGGCGCAGTTGGGAGCGCGTCTCCGGCCCACACGCTCCTGGTTCAACCCCCCGTAGTGCCACTCAATTTTGGCTTTTTTTGATTTTAGATAACACAATTACAATAGATTCTAAGGTTTTCTAAAGAACTTCTTAGCTTTATCGATCCAAACACGGTTGTAGAGAATCAAAGATCGGAATAGAACGATCCTTAGCCCGAGAAAATCCCCGTATAGGCGGACAGACACTGCTGTTTTATATATAGTAGATACTGTTCAAAAGTAGTACCCAAAGAAACTACAGGAGTAATGAGTACTGAAGGAGTAATGACAAACACTGTGCTTTGTTCTAGAAATTCTAGACATTCTAGACATGAATATTTTAGAGATGGTCACCGAATGCAAAGGCTAAAACAATACTTGAATAGATCATTCCACTCTCGATGGTCTATCCGTCGCATTCCCTCTTGTGCTTCATTCACTATTCTCCAAGAGTCGGCTGTGAAGTTTGTCATCATGTTTGTTAATCTAGAAGTGATCTTTCTGCTTGTTGACTGTTTTTGATGCAAGTTTAATGAATAGGTAATCTAGCTGATAGAGCAGAACATCTAGTTCGATCTAGATCTAGATCTAGAGCTCAAAATCTCGAGGATTGGTAGATGATCTCTTTAGGAAACAAATCGGTACTATTTTTACTAGTTACTAGCTATACTAGTTACTAGCTATACTAGTTACTAGCTATACTAGTTCCTATCTATCTATTGCCTATTGTTGATCAACGAAATTTCAAACCTGACAAGCTTTTTACTCCTAGCCATCAGCTCTGTTTTTGTCTCGAGTAACATGAGAATCCAGGCGCCAAGACACAAATATCCGATGAGAACGGCCACCAAGATCACGTGAGGAGTCAAGATTTTGATGTACTAAAGAAATCAATAACTCTTGACAAGAGAAAAATCAAACATTTAGGTTAATGATTTGCTTTTATAGTTAAAGTTTCAGGGGATTTCACACATATTGCCTTCTCCCTAAAGGTTTTCGACTTTTTCCTTTCACTCTCCTCATCGTCTTGTTTTTCTTGAGAGATTTGCTCTTGGCTATCGCCGAAATGAACCTGAATGAGCTTAAAGTAAAGCAAGACGATTTAAAATTACTACTCTAACTACTTTTAATTATAGCTTTGGTGGTAAGTTGTAAGTGTTTCCTAGTACGATACAAGTCAGCCATTTGTCAGCCTTAGCCAGTCAGCCTTAGCCAGTCAGCCTTAGCCAGTCAGCCTTAGCCAGTCAGCCTTAGCCAGTCAGCCTTAGCCAGTCAGCCTTAGCCAGTCAGCCTTAGCCAGTCAGCCTTAGCCAGTCAGCCTTAGCCAGTCAGCCTTAGCCAGTCAGCCTTAGCCAGTCAGCCTTAGCCAGTCAGCCTTAGCCAGTCAGCCTTAGCCAGTCAGCCTTAGCCAGTCAGCCTTAGCCAGTCAGCCTTAGCCAGTCAGCCTTAGCCAGTCAGCTGTTGAACCCGGAAATGCTATTGGAATTGGGGTTTAGCACGTCTAGAGTTTATGATTTGAGAACTTCCTGTTTCAAGACAAGCGAGTAGCTTCTCCTGGCTTGGCTTTACTGCGCCAAAGGTGTCCAAAGGTGTCCAAAGGAACAAGTCAAGAAGGTCAGGAAGTCAAGTCAAGTCAGTTTATTTCCTTATGAAAGTTTATTTTGCCTTTTGCCTTATAAATGATAAACTTTACCTTGATAGTTTGTTGAAAACAATTTTTCGGTTCTTTATCCTCAGTCTCATCTTTGATTGTATCGGTGATCACGGTGGCTCCATCGTCGGCATCTAAAGAAATAGATGATTCGAGAACTGAAATTCTGTGATAGATTGTGAATATGTTTGAGAAAATTACTTTATTAAGCTTTATTAAGCTATAAAATGTATTGTAAAATGTATTGTATTCTATCATTAGCGTAATGCTAATGATAGAATGGGTTTTTCTGAATTCAGATAAACACAAGAAGCCAGCAAGAAGCTAGCCAGTTTGCCAATTACCGTATTTCCTCTAATAGTAGTGCACCCCGGTGAGCCGAGTTGGTGACGATTTTACGGTTTCCAAGCTTTTGCAAAAGCTCAAGACTCTTCTCCCCCACTAGATCTCATCGTCAGCTACATTTTTCGACCCCACATCGATAGGTTCTGATAAGCGGTTTTCGAGATTTCGAGCAATTTAGGCGACGCTCGGGGTGCACCACTATTAGAGAAAATATGGCGTTCTCGTTCGTTCATATTAGAAATGGCGTTCACAAAAACGCGTTGCATTGATGGCATTTTAGTATTAGAGATTTCTATTAGAGAAAATACGGTATTCAAACAAAGGTTTTTATTTTTCACATTTGAAGAAAAGAAAAAAAGGTTTCAACAAACCTAGCAATGCAGATTGTGAGGTCAAAGGAACACCGTCCCATCTTGTCGTTACGTGATCTGAAAAAGAAATCTTTTATAGTGATCTGTTATAGTGATCTGTTATAGTGAGCCTTTTTAGGGATCTTTTCTAGGGATCTTTTTTAGTTAAAGTTTTCAAATGCTTAAGCTTAAGCTATGCTCAAATGCTTAAGCTTAAGCTATGCTCAAATGCTTAAGCAAAATCCCTTTTCGCTGATCCCTTTTCCACCAAATCACCTTTGAATATTGAAAACTGTTCAGTGAGTGTTGTGGGTGAAATCGAGTAATGACTGCGCTCGTTCACCGGATTTTGATTACCTATCCATTTTTCTTTTGATCGATCCTCGTTTTTCGTTTGATATACTTTTCAGCCAAGCTCACAAATCACAAAGCATGCAGTTTTCAATGAAGAAATCTTCGAGAAAAGAAAGAAAAGTTTAAAGAAAGTTTAGTTTAAAGAAAAAAATACAAAAATGAAGTTCAAAATGCTTTCAAGAGCCTTCAAAACTTTCAAAACATCAAAAACTTTTAAAGTTCAAACGTAACTTTGAAAACTTTCAATGCAAACTTACAAATCTAGACTTTAAAAACTATTGTTTTTGATGGATATCATCGATTTTGTTCGGTTTGTTGATTATATTTTGAACTAAATGAATCATTGAGTCCAGAATAACTGCCTGGAATAGCACAACTTTACAGATCAATGTTTAATGATCAATGATCAATAAATCCAAACTTCGATTCGTTTCATGAAAAGTCTGCGATTTCGGTGAAAGAATAGTCACAATGATTTCAGTGACTTCTAAAGTCTCAGTAATAACTTGGCTAACTCAGTAACAGTCTGAGACTGTTTTTGAGTTAGTCGCAGTTGTTACTGGGACTGTTACTGAGTTAGTCGCAGATGTTACGCAGTCTCAGTAACAACTGCGACTAACTCAGCAACAGCCTCAGTAGCAACTGCGACTAACTCAGTAACAGTCTCAGTAACAACTTGGCTAACTCAATAACAGTCTCGGTAACAACTGTGGCTAACTCAGTAACAGTCTCAGTAACATCTGTGACTAACTCAGTAACAGTCTCAGTAACAACTTGGCTAACTCATCAACAGCCTCAGTAGCAACTGCGACTAACTCAGTAACAGTCTCAGTAACAACTTGGCTAACTCAATAACAGTCTCGGTAACAACTGTGGCTAACTCAGTAACAGTCTCAGTAACATCTGTGACTAACTCAGTAACAGTCTCAGTAACAACTTGGCTAACTCAGCAACAGTCTCAGTAACAACTTGGCCAAGAAAGAGTCAGTAATTATCGTCCCGGTTTCAGTCCCGGTAAACAGATATCTTTTTGTTGCTTGTTTTGCTATTATTGCTTTGTAAAGTCTTCAAATCAATATTTGGCGATTCACAATCTGAGATGTGATGGGTGTCTTCTCGAAAAACGACAAAAGGGTGTTCGAGATGAGCACCGGAAGAGTCAAGGGGATGAGGGATCTCCTTTGAAGAAGTGAAGAGCCTTTCCTTTTCCGTTTCTCTGATGGATCGCTTCAAATTCGTCATCGCCACCACTTTTGCCCCTCCTGAGGCCGATTTCTTCGTCGTTTTGCATTTTTTCCCCGTTTTTTCCTCTTGGAAAACTTGTGAAATTGATTTCAAAGACTTGAAAAGAAGTTGAAGATGAAGAAAGCATAATCTTCGAATTCAAGAAAAAAAATTGAAGCTTTATTATGCTAAAGATTATAGCTTATAATGCGAAATGTTTGCTGTGGTATGCTAAAGAAAAAATTGAAGATTATAATGCATTTGCCGAAGCACTAGCCCAGCAATGAGCCTTTTTTCGACTTTAAAAAGTTGAATTGCTTAGGAACAAATTGGAACAAATTGCTTAGGAATTCAACAATTAAAAACTCAAAAAGCAATTGTTCAAAGCTTCTAAACGTAGCTTAGAACTGTTATTAAAGTTATAAAGTTATTAGATATTAAAGAATTTCTAGTTAAAGAGTTTCCAAGGTTCTTTGGTTCAGCGGGTATCAGATTTAGAATGAATTACCAAAGAATTCTGGGGAACTGGAAACTCTTTAATATTTAGGAACGGTTATAACAGTTTTAAGCTACGTTTAGAAGCTTTGAACACTTGAAGAGTGTTCACTTGAACACGAAGACTTGAAGCTTTGAACGCTTGAAGCTTTGAACGCTTGAAGCTTTGAACGCTTGAAGCTTTGAACGCTTGAAGCTTTGAAGACTTGAAGCTTTGAAGACTAGAAGCTTTGAAGACTAGAAGCTTTGAACACTTGAAGCTTTGAACGCTTGAAGCTTTGAATATACGCCAAAAGCCTCAACAAACAGGCTCAGCAAATATTTAATAGTGTAGGTTTCTGCTTGTGGCTCAAACAAACGCATCAATGAGCCTTTTTTGGACTTTAAAAAGTTGGATTCATGAATTCCTATGAATTCAACAATTAAAAACTCAAAAAGCAAGTGTTCAAAGCTTCTAAACGAAGCTTAGAACTGTTATTAAAGTTATTGCTAAACATCAAAACTCCAAAATCATCCCCTCTACCTGCGCTCAGTAAAATATTCGCCAAGAATTGTCGATAATCGGGCGGACATGCGGACAATAGCTGTGAATTTCTTATCGGTAGAATATACATTTCAATGAATCTTCAGTTTTTCAATGTAAAAAAATGAATTTCCAGTTTTTTGCTAGGTTTTCTTTAGTTTCCCCCTGTCGTTGGCATAATTTTACGAGTGGTGCTCGAGATTTGTGAGCTCGAGACTTGCGAGCTCGAGTGGTTGGCCCCAAAAAAGTGTTTCAACTCAACACAAAGGCTTTTAGGAACATTATGCTAATGAATCAAGAGAATCAAGAAGAGAATCAAGAAGAGAATCAAGGAGAGAATCAAGGAGAGAAACAAGAAGAGAAACAAGAAGAGAATCAAGAAGAGAAGCAAGAGAATCAAGAAGAGAATCAAGAAGAGAATCAAGAAGAGAATCAAGAAGAGAATCAAGAAGAGAATAAAGAAGAGAATCAAGAGAATCAAGAATAGAATCAAGGAGAGAAACAAGAGAATCAAGAATTTGAATTTGAAATTCAAAACGAAATCCTCCTAGCTTGTTTTAACTATTTTTCTATACTTGTAAATATTCAAAGAATATTCTTGTCTACCAAAATCTTCAAAATCTAACGTTGGAATTTTAGGGACCACCCGAAAGGCGATAAATTGAGAAGATAGGGCCATCTATGGGCCGTTTTCTTTCTCGAAAGAGAACTTTTCTCTTCTCTTTTTAACGCTCAATTTATGAGATCGCAATTTGCTTATTCTGCACGAATGCCTTTAGTTTAAAGAAAAGAAAAAGAAATGAGAGATTGAGGAATTTGGAATTTAAGTTTGAGTCATTTTGGAGGCATTTTAGAGAGATTGACTAAGGAATTTGAGTCATTTTGGAGGCAACGGAAGAAGAATAGAATGAGTACATGAGAACATGAGAAAAATGAGAACAGAAAGCAGTTGTGACAGAGAGATATGACAGACAATAGAGAGCTGTTAGCGCTGACAACTTTGAGAGCTGTTAGCGAATCAATGCGCTCAGCGCTCAATCCAGTTATGTAGTCGAAATTTCTCAGCTCATCACTGGCACTAAAGGCTCATCACTGGCACTTAAAAACGATAATTCTAGAATCCAGAAACTACATATCATTGATGATATATGACAGGAAAAAGGTAAAATTTGTAAATGAAAAAACGTCAGTGGTTTTAGGGTGATTGAAATTCGTCAATTAACCGCTTTAAACTCAAATCCAATATGAAAAAATGAAGCCAAGCTTGTTAAAATACTCTAAATTCTATTTGAGTTAACGGTTAAGGCTTACGCTTTACGCTTTACGGCTAACGGGAGCGCGGTGGTCGAATGATCGGAGGCGACGCGGGGCGAGCTTTTAGCCAACTTGCAGCTTATTTTTAAACACCTTAAACTTGTCAGATCAAAAAGTTTTAATAAGATTTAGATAGCTTAGAACGTTAGCTTTCAGAAAGTATTTGTTTCATTAAAAGTTATTAACAAAAACTTATATAAAATCGAGCTGTAAAATGGTTATCGGAGGGGCGAACTTTTAGCCAACTTGCAGCTTATTTTTAAACACCTTAAACTTGTCAGATCAAAAAGTTTTAATAAGATTTAGATAGCTTAGAACGTCAGCTTTCAAAAGCTATTTGTTTCATCAAAAGTTATTAACAAAAACTTATCTAAAATCGGGCTGTAAAATGGTCAAAAACTCGCCTCCCCTTCCCCCCTAAAGATCCTCTATTTATTTTATCTTTTCAATACTTCGATAACAACTTACACTTACAATTCACAATTTTACTTGCAATGAACTTCCAATTTTACAATGTCACGTCCAACTTTTCCATTTTAAATCTGCCAATCCTTGGCCCGGACTCCCAAAAAAGCAATCCACAACTCATTGCGGACCCCAAAAAAAGCTCTACCAAAACAAGCGCAACAAAAATAGCAGCTGATTGGCCTTTGTCCAAGAAAAAACCCAAAAAACCCTCACCAATTAGCAGTTTTCCATCTTCAAGTATTGAAATAGTAGGTCTTCTGATGCTTTGCTTACGTTTATAGTTAGATTTAGCATGCTCAGAAATCGAGAACAGTGAATCCCCAGATGAATGCAGATTTGACCGCTCGGATCTCAGCAAATATGGTTGTTCTTCAAACGTGTGGCTCAATCTTGGCTCATAAACTAATCTTATCGATTCGCGGTGATCGCTCGGCTCGCCTCTTCCCAAAGCTTCGGCAATCTGGACACTCAGTCGTGTGTCGATTTGCCCCAAATGAAGGTGTGGAGTGGTTTGGCGTCTTGTTGTTGGTTTAGAATGTGGTGAATAGAAAAACATTGTTTAAGAATAGGAATGGGAATGGGAAAAGTATTATTGAATAGAATTCATGGCTGAAAATCTGGCTAGGCATTCATGGCTAGGCAAAGTTAGAGGTCTAGATTTGAGGGGAGGGTCTAGGCTCTTCTCGAGCTCTTCTAGAGCCGGGTGTCTTCCCCAAAAACCCCTATCTATCTCTCTTTCTCTTCTCACTCTCTCTCCTTTCTTTCAAGAATTCCCCCATTTGTTTTCGGTTTGTTTTCTCGTGTTTCTTATGCTTTTTTCCCGTCAAGAAACATGAGATTTCGGCATAACTGAGTGTGAATTAAGAAGCGATCGCCGGAAGTGACACTTGGTTTGGATAAAAGGCTTAGATAAAAGAAAGAACATCTTAAAAAAACTTAAATAGGATGTAATATGTATAATAATGATAATAATAACAATCAATAACAATCATTTAACAATGATAAATGTTAAAGGATACCAGCTATACTTTGAAATGCCGCTTCCGAGTGTTCCCGAAGTACCGCTAAGTGTCCCCATTGCAAGGAAGCTACGTTTGCTGTTTGCTACGTTTGCCGACATTACCGCTTGTACTGCCAGTACCGCTTGTACTGCCAGTACTGAAGTACTGCCAGCAGCAAGCTACGCTCACTTAACTGATTTGGCTACAGTTGATTTCATTCGATAGTGCTGTTTAATATCTATCGAATGAAACCAACTGTAGCCAAATCGGTCAAGTGAGTGGCGAGAAAAACACGAAAAACTTAGCTTCCTGGCAATGAGGACACTTGTAGACACTTCGGGGCTACTTCAAAACCGACACTTCGGGGCTACTTCAAAGCCAACACTTCGGGGCTACTTTAAAAGTCATTTACAATCCGTTAGATAAGCTTCAAACAAAGAAATAACTGGTATTTGACCTAAAGAATAGCATTTTGTAAGCCAAAAACTTATTTATGGTTCGTAACAGGTTACTTAGCTGTACAGGTTATAGGTATAGGTTACTTAGCTGTACAGGCTACTTAGCTGTACCGGTTACTTAGCTGTACAGGTTACAGGTACAGGTTACTTAGCTGTACATTTTACAGGTACAGGCTACTTAGCTGTACCGGTTACTTAGCTGTACAGGTTATAGGTACAGGTTACTTAGCTGTACATGTTACAGGTATAGGTTACTTAGCTGTACATGTTACTTAGCTGTACAGGTTACAGGTACAGGTTACTTAGCTGTACAGCTTGCTATCAATCTGTTTTCAAGATTGCTCAAGATACTACAACTTATGTCACCATTTTCTGATTTCAATTCCTACTTGAGACAAGAAAACTATTGCTCTTTTGTTGTCGAATAGAGTGAAAAGTTGGGAGTGAGCAATTTGTCTCTGTTTGACCCTTTTTCTGGCAGAGCAGAGGCAGAGCAGAGGCAGAGGTTTTACCCAGAAAAATTCTCTGAAATCCATTCTCTGAAAAGGGCTGGCTTTGAAGTTTTCTATTAGATTTTTAGAAAAGTAATAGATGACTATAATGATGAGATTAATTTGATCAAGGTTTGATTTGAAAAAAATCGTTACTAGCCCAGGTGAAAAGCCAGGTTTAAGCCTAGCTTTTGAGGACAGTTGCAGCTAAGTCAGGACCCGGCTTCACCAGTTGGTGAAGCCGGGTTAAATGTACCAAAAAAAGAGCTAAATTTGTTTAACCAATTGCTAAATTTAGCAAAATTGCTTCTCCATTTAGCGTTGCAAGATGCTAAACTGCTAAATCGATTTAACAAATAGGCAAAATTGGTAAATGGGAATGAAACCAGCGCTCAAATCAGCGCTATCTTTCCAAAAATAAAAAGATTGCAAGCCTCAGCGAAGAAGTGTTATATACTGTTCAAAAGCGCTGAATCTCCTCTACAAAATAGTGCTAAAAGATTTTGAATTGGATTGTTTATTGGGGACTTGGGTGTTAAAAAGTAATCGCAAGTCGAGTCATGGCCTGGGTACCTGCGCTCGACCTGGGCAAGGATTGCAAGCCTCAGCGAAGAAGTGTTATATACTGTTCGAAAGCGCTGAATCTCCTCTACAAAATAGTGCAAAAAGATTTTGAATTGGATTGTTTATTGGGGACTTGGGTGATTTTTAAGTTGAAAGGTCAAAAATGATCATTTTCTAGAAAATTTGTTTCTGGTAATAGGCAGGTTTTCCGTTAGAGAATACCACCAATTAAAGTTAATTTCTGGTTTTGTTAATTTAAGTTAATTTTTGGTTTTGTTTGTTCCTCTTTTAGAGCTAAATCTTTATTCTTCGAAAAAGCCTCAATTTAGGCCAAAAATGGCTACTTTCTAACTTTGGATATCTCAATAGAAAGCTGGTCGTTTGAGTTTTGGTATAAACAATGAGTAATGTATATCCTTAATCTATTGGAAAGATCTCAAACAAAAAGATTCATAGATGCGATAGTCGCCAGCAGGCACAGGTGCTCAGGTAGCTTGCTGGCAATGGGGACACTTAGCGGTGTGAGCGCTGGTTTCATTCCCATTTACCATTTTGCCTATTTTTTAAATCGATTTAGCAGTTTAGCATCTTGCAACGCTAAATGGAGAAGCAATTTTGCTAAATTTAGCAATTGGAAAAGATATTTGAGCGCTGGCCTCAATACCGCTCTAATAGTTTAGTGAAATCGGGCCCAACCAAGGCCATCAGACTCAAATCTATTTTGTCTTTAGACATTGAACTTGAAGTAGAACTTGAATCCTAAAAAGAACACTCATAGCTACAAAAACGAACCTTCATAAATCGCTACCAACTGTCCAACGTCAAGCTGAGTGACTGATGCTAGAGTTACTCCAGATTTCGCAGATCTTGAAGAAATGCGATGAATCGAGGTTCGTCTCGAACTCCGAATACTCCTTTGCACAGGCAACGGCGCCACCCGTGATCCCAGCAACATTTGTGACATTCTTCTTGTCACATTTCGCACCAAACTCGCGTAGAAATCGGAATGCAATGGTAGAATCATAGAAATCGAATATTTCTCTCGATTCTCTAGTTGGTTCGTTTGTGAAAGTGGTTTTCGTTTTCTTTCTTTTTCCGCTTTGGAATTACCTCCTCATAAAGCCGGCTCGTAAAAAGGAGGCAATTGGCGCAAAAAAATCCCCCCAAAATGTGGATACTTCTTCCCCAACTTCTCCAAAAAGTACTTCCAAAAGTTAAGCTCAAATCCTATGTGAGAGTTGCGAGAGGTGAATTTGAAAAAAGAAAATTCCAGAAAAATCCTGAAAAATCCAGAAAAAGTCCAGAAATTTCAAGTATTTGTGGAAGCTTTTTAGAAAAGCTTGAATAGGGAAATAAAAAATTCCTGCCACGCGGAAATAAAATGAATCAAATAGGCTTTCAAAGCTGTTTAGAGAGGGTTAGTCTCTAGTCTCTGAGCTCTCTCAGCCTCAGATTGATCACTTTCACATTGAAAGTAAAGCTGTAAGCTGGAAGCTCTAAGCTGGAAGCTGGAAGCTCTAAGCTGGAAGCTGGAAGCTGTAAAGCTGTAAGCTGGAAGCTGTAAGCTGGAAGCTGTAAGCTGGAAGCTGTGAGCTGTAAGCTATAAAGCTGTAAGCCGTAAGCTGTAAGCTGTAAGCTGTAAAGCTAAAGCTGTAAGCTGCTAGCTGTAAGCTGCTAGCTGTAAGCTGGAAGCTGGAAGCTGGAAGATGTAAGCTGTAAGCCGTAAGCTGTAAGCTGTAAGCTGTAAAGCTAAAGCTGTAAGCTGCTAGCTGTAAGCTGGAAGCTGGAAGCTGGAAGCTGGAAGCTGGAAGATGTAAGCTGGAAGCTGTAAGCTGTAAGCCGTAAGCTGTAAAGCTGTAAGCTGTAAGCTGTAAAGCTGTAAAGAAAAGCTGTAAAGTCTAGGCTTTCTTAGGCTTGTTTATCGGGCTTTAACGACTTTAAAGCCCGATAAAGATAAAGGACTTACAGGCAACATTGTATAAGTGTCAGAGTCCGAAAAGAGAGGCTTTTTGGCGTTTGACAAAAAGATCTACTAACAAGACAAGGTCACAAGGTTGATGTGGCGAAATGAAATGACGATTTGACGCAGAATTTCACGCTCATTCCGAATCTGCTTTCCATTTCTGATAAGGAGCATTCTGTCAAAAGTTATACGAGTTTAAAGTTTTGTTGGAGAAATCAAACCGCAACATTATAACCCCGTCTTCCGCGACGCTGCCGGTTGCAGCGGTGGCTGAGTGGTAGTGAGTTAGGACCCAAGGTAAGGGCTAGTTAGGACCCAAGGTAAGGGCTAGCTGATTCGAGTCCGTTAGCTGGTTGTCTTTTCGTTTTTAGGTTTTAATGCCTTGAAGTACAACAAGCTCAGCAAATTGGTAGAAATGTAGAAATGATTGAATTCCGAAAGTTCAGGAGATCCAGACAATCTACAAGAGTAAAGGTACAAGTACAAGAGTAAACAAGAACTGAAAAGCTCTCTCTTTACGTTTTTGAGTTAGCACAGTAAGTGTTGTTGTAAGCGACAGTCTTGACAATGAAGGTAACTCTTGATAAGAACAAGAACGTAGCAAGAACAAGAACGTAGCAAAAGAAGAACGTAGAAAGAACAAGATTGTAGCAAGAACAAGAACGTAGCAAGAAGAAGAACGTAGCAAGAACAAGACAAGTTCTTGATGATTGGTTGCATCAACAGCTTTGTAGGCTTTTAAAAACAAACATTGATTTAGATTTCGAACAAAATAAAAGTCAATTAACAAATCATTCACTCACCACATTTCGATTTCCTCTTTTGTGCCTCTTCTCGAATCCCAGCTGTTGTCTTGATGAGGCCAGCGGCGGAAAAAAGCGCCACCGCCGGACTGAAGCGCTCATCTCGGAATGCTTGACTGTAGATCATCCCTTTGATCGATCGAATGGAGGAAATGTGATCATCTTTATACAAATCGTGTTATTGATGTGAAAAGATACGAGAAAAGATGTCTTAATCGTGTTTAATGAGTCAGCAAAATCCCTGATTGCAT